TCTCTCCACCGCAGTGCAAATATGTGAATTTTCATATATCTAAAATCTTCATTCACTTGGATGTTTATTTGTACCCAATTCTTTGACCAGCTCCCAGTTGGCTTGTTAGCTCAATTGGTAGAGCGCTGCACCGGTATCGCAGAGGTCATGGGTTCAAATCCCGTACGGGCCTGAATTTTTTCAGGTCCTATTTACAACTACTCGTTTCAGTAGTGTTCTTAGCTGCGAGGATCTCTTAATTTCATCTCTCCACCGCAGTGCAAATATGTGAATTTTCATATATCTAAAATCTTCAAAAAAATAATTTGTTTGCCTCTTTTTCACCTCGTAACCATGCCTCAACGTGCTTGATATACGAGTTCCACATAAAATTCTATTTGCTTGGCGGCCATGGCAAGTATAAAAGATTTCTTTAGCCTCTTAGTGCGGACATGTGGCATATCGTAAGGGCGATGGTTTCTTAAATTATACCTTTTATTCTTATACAATGGCGGAAGTAAGCTGTCCAGCGTATGGTCTGTATCAGATGCGATGCAATTAAAAAGCTTATCACATAGTGAATCAATATGATCCACCACAGGTGCTCTGCCTTGGATTTAACATGCATAATTGTAGCTCGTGCCGAGATAATGATTGAGGTCGCCCTTTCGTAAATACGAACAAGCTCGTCGATGAGATATTGCGGCAAGGCGCTATAGAATACCTGAACAGCATCATCGACCACGGACCTTACGCACGTATTTTACAAAAGAATTAGATCTGTTGGTGATAATTTCGCTCGTTTGAGCTGTCCTAGGAGATAGAATCGCTCACTAGCTTTCTTACCTGCTTCTTCAATGTGTGCATTCCAAGTTAGGTTAGGGCTTTTAGTAAGTCCCAGCATCTTGGCGGCACTTACAACTTCTACTTCTTTTCTGTCGATAACAACCGCATCCAGTTCAACTGGATTCCGGGCAAATGAGATTCGAAGCTCCTTGCATTCATCAGGGTTTGAGTTGTACTCTATTTATATGAGACCACTCAATAACCTGGTTAACTACACCCTGTGCATTACTGGTGTTCCCTTTCGGAACGAATTCGAATGCTGTACTGTCATCATCAAACTTCCATAAATGTGGTGTGTTTACATCTAAATCAATTATCATCAATACAAAAAGCCGTGGGCCCAATTTAGTACCCTGCTGTACCCCATGAGATTTCTATCAGGTATAGTTGACAAAGGAGAGTTTAGAATCTACCATTTAGGCAGAAATAAAACGACCAAACATGACTCAACTCAATTTGTTCCAAACTTCCCATGTAGGCAACTGACATTGACGCCAAACAGATATGAACCGCTGGGCAGGTATGGAACGAAGTATGCTAGCCTCTCAAACTCGTGATAAATTTAGAGTTTTAGAAATATATGCCACTAGTACTAGGTGCAAAAAACGCTTCTGAACAGCAAAGATATTAAATTCCCAAATTAAACCGCTGTGAAATAACTCATGTAAATGCTTTGTTTTCAATAGCTAACTGCAAAGATTCTGAAGTGTTTGCAATTCTGAAGTGCATCCGAATCTGGCAAATTATCCAGGTCATTGCGAGTCAAATCATGAGTGGACAAAGAGATACTGCGCCAAGTCCTGTGGCTGGTGTTGTGAGTATAAGTCCTTTTCGCAGAGACTTTAAGTCAAATGTCATAGTTTTACTCGCTATCCCTTACTATTTCTGTAGTTGCCCGATTTTTTTAAAAATGTATTATTTTATTTTTTTAACACAACTCGGGTACTGATATATACCTTGCTTGGCTAATGGAAATTTACGGGAAGACAAATGAACTTAAAAGTTTCGTGAAATATTTAATTTTAAGTGAAATAAAAATGAAAAGAATCTGGAAACATTTCAGGGCTTTGATCTTTATTCAGACCAGCCATATTAACAATCATGAATTTATATAATTATAGTAATGCATTTTCCCTTGCCCTTTTTTTATTTTATTTTATTATTTTTTTTATTTTTATTACAGCTTGATTTGAACAACTGAGGGACACTGAGCTGATCTCGATCAGGAAGAGTTTTTGCCGATTTCCTCAAAATACAAATAACTGCTCCATTCATACACTGCACCATTGTCAGTTTGATTCACTGTTCACAGAATAAAATAATGAATAACATACAACACACCTCACTAAGGCCTTTCTTAATAGTTTAGGAGAATAAAAATGTTTTTCAAGCTTTTGTTTCGTTTATGGGCTGTGGTTATTGATTTCTATGTGGGTTAGTGTACGAAGGCTCCATTCTTAGCTTCACTATTTCCTTACGAACAGAAGGGCTAAATTTTATCGTGATGTTAGTAAAATGATCAATAAATTCGCAACGGAACCAGACGGATGACGTTTTTACTCATACGATAAGAAGGAGCAGAAAGAGATCATTTCCTCGCTTGACTTGAATGTGTAAAATCTACTCATATCGGTTAGCTTTTGGTTTAAGACTGAGGCTAGAAGATAAGTTATAAAGATCATTGACCAATATCGGATGCAAAGATTTGTATTTTACTAAATAAACGTGTAGGAAGATGTGATTCAATGAAAACATCTTAATAAAAGATATAGCCGAAAGACTAAAAGACATAATACGAACAGACAATCTGTGGCTTATCCAACTACACGAAACTCTTAGAGAGAAGAAAGCTCAGACGCTGGAAAAAGAACTAACCTAAAGGATAAGAAACAAAGACTACTTGGTCGAAATTAACTAAATGACAAGTACTGGCGAATGAATAATTACTCATGCAAATTCTATTTCCTGCAAGGCCCATCTCCCCAGCGGAGATGCGCTCTATGAATTCATGCTCAAATAAGGCCGTTTCGAGGCCTTTTTCATCAATTTCAACTTCGTGCTACCCGGAAGCATATTGCTTTTTCGGAAAACAAAACATCGAAGCTAATAACCTTTTTGCAACTCCACGAACTTCCAAACATTCGAGTTTTCGTATAAATGTAAGCTGAATTGAAAAATATGTACAGCTCGAAATAGAATTGCGTAGAATAATGCTTCATACATAACAGCTTTAAAATGATTCGTTTTGTTATCTCCAGCAAACAGGCGTCAGTAACTGAGGAGGTTCCTGTGGCTTTATTGTCCTAGGACAGCTGGAACTAAACATTTAACCAAATAAATCAGGTAATATCTATAAGAAATATTAAACAACCATCTTTCCTGTGAACGAAAATAAAAAAAGGGTGTGAATCTACGGTAGTACAGTTGTTCAGAATTTAATATATCACTTAAGTGCTTACTCAATTCAAAGAACGAACGAACAGATCAGCTAAGAAAAATTGACAAATACCGTCCTCGCTTCTATATTAAGAAATCAGTTCAACTCTACAGCCGCTTCTAAACTTATCTAAACGCCCTTCACCACTCCTCGAACTGTTGGACAGTCATCAGCGATTTGTGCTGAGGTAGAATTGTGTAATTCATTAAAAAAATTGATCAGAATAATAATGCTTCATATGTTGAGGAAGATAGAAGAAAGAGCCTTAATTGGATTAACCAATCACCTCGCAAATTGGTAGCTAATTACTCAGTAGAAATAAACGCGTTACAGGTTAGACAAATGTGAAAATATTTTCGTTATGAAAAGGAAATGTCCGTGTACAGTGTACATGTAACACTTAAAGAATTATTCCTGTTGTTATCGTGAGTAAACAAGCTTTAAAGACTGAATTAGGAAGCTTCGACAGCTTTATTGTCATAAGAGAGCTGCGGCTAAACATTAAATCTACCAAATGGGAGAAGATCAGTGAGAAATACAAAACAAACAGCCTCTCATTCAACGAGAATTAGAACAGAGAGGTTTTTGTTTACGCTTTCAGTTGTCAGTGTATCATTAACATGCTCGCTTTAAAGATAACTCAGAACAGCTCTACGAATTAAGATGTTGTTAAGCCATAGTTCTAAAGAAAAAAAATTACGCTTTATTCCTAAATTTTAACAATTAAGTTCATAGATAGATAACAAGATTTTAATTAAAATAAATCTATCTGCTGGGTCTTACAAAACTGAAGATCAGCAGACCGCGGCCCGCGGGTTTCAGAGGTTCGGAACCTCTGAAACCTGCGGTGCCATACTTTTAACCTTATTTATACTCAAAAACCAAATTTCGCAACGCGTCAAGGTTTTTTTTTTTTTTTTTTTTTTCATTATTTTTTTTAGCAAAAATCTATGGATTCCGCAGGTTCCACGGTTAGCTGATCTGTAATTTAGTAACACCCCCATCTACTTTCCATTGTTATCTCTAGAATCAAACAAAATATCCCGATATTTATTCATCTGTTGCAGATGGTCTGCTGATCGCGCCGAATTCTTAGCACCTTTGTTTCATCAAGTTCTTATAAATTTGGTTTACACTCATATCTTTACACATTGCTTTCCGAGAGCTAGATCAGTAGATCAACAGCATGGGGAAATTTAATTCATTCTTTTGCTTGTTTCTTTTCTGGTTTGCTGCCACCTCTGCTTCAGACCCAGAAGGTATTGTTGACTTTCAGTTGCACAAATTTAACGGAGTAAATTTTTACTGTCAAATTCAGTGAGGACCAAACTTTTACTTTTGTGGATTAAAAGTGCTTTTAAGATCTTACAAATCAGTTACTTTGAATAAGATGTAAATAGGAGTGCGGTAAGACAAATTTGAACCAGAATCGGAATAAAAAAATTTTAAAACATCGTGAAATTATAATCTTCATTGGATTTTCTTTAAATAAAAAGGGATTTGCTACTGAGCAAGAGAGGGTAACTACGTTTGGAGAAGTGATAAAATTATACTTTAACAAAATGAGGGAAAGTAAGCGTCAGATGAACATCAGGAAAATATGGCATGTATTAGAATGGTATCCATCTTGAGGTAAATTTATGAGGGAAAGACTAGAGCTGATCCACTTACAAACCTCAGGTGTTAAGACATTTTTATTGGATTTAACAGCCAGATTTTAACCCCCCTTACAGAAAATATGGAAAGTACGGAGGATCTATTCGAGGGGGACATGAAACTCTCACATAATCAAAGGGCCGCCATCGATGGACAAGCCGGGAGAGGATCCATCACAACTAGAAAATGGACTGGTAGTGCGCTGCCGTACGTGATTCACTCATCGCTGTGTAAGAAATTCCTCTTTTGTGTCATGTCACATATAAGCTTCTTTTTACTCTTGAGAAAACAAGTGAACGGTTTGAATTATGAAATGCTACTTGCGTGATTTCCGTACGTTGGTTGCTGCTTGGACTTCTTTTAGTATTTGATATGACTTCTACAATACCACCTAAGAGACTTCAAAGATTTTCGGAACTTTAAAATCTTAAATTACTACCTAAAAGAAAAATTTTTAAGATACAATAGAAGGATGACTTAGTTTGAAAAACACACTTTTTCTTAGTGTTGGGTTAGAGGGGTGATGGGAATTGTATCTCGGTGTTGATAAAACTATTTTTTCTAGTGAAGGGGGTAAGCCTCTCAAGAACCTCTAGTGCTGCGTCGGTGGGGTGTAACGTTAGTCCTTCCGGTCCGACGAAACTTTTTACGGTAGCCAATTTACAATTTCAACTCAGTTGATAAAACCAAGTTGCCTTTTTCTATTTTTTTTCCCTCAACCTTGTAGTTCCCTCCTTACCAAAACCAAAGACAAAACATCCTGCCACTCGTTATGTTTTCATCTTTACTTTTATTCTTCTTTTAGCGGGAGCGGAATCGGTGATCCAAGCTGCATTTAATGAATGGGAGCAGAAGACGTGCATTCGTTTTAGAAAGAGAACAACTGAAAGAAACTATGTTGAGTTCTTTAAAGGATCAGGGTGAGACAATGACCTTCACAATTTGCTCTATACGCCTACTTTCAATTAACAACTGATCAGCGTGCATCATTGAGATATGAAGCATGTGGAAAGTTTGGAGAGCACTGTAGATTCGAGAGAGTTATTGAAGGCGCAGTTGAGAGCAGTTGCAAACTTCTCCACCAGGTCTCGAAGCATGCACAGTTGGCACACACACAATTTTTTTCAAACTTTTCAACGCGATTATATAGGTGTAAAATAGATGACAAGAATTTTCCTCTGTTGTGCGTTTAATGCGTACAAACGTGTTATCAGATAACACGGTGGAGAATGAAACACGCGTGTAATTTTAATTTTAATCACAGAAATTAGGCAGCTATGTTATAAATTAACTTGAAATGAGGATTATCTAAGTTGATAATTAAAGATCGTAAATATTTTATTTATTGCCACGCCTCCATCTCTGTCGTGATGGTTCTTCTCCGAGTTAATTGCATATTAATAGCGAATGTTGACGCGTTTACACGTCCGCTCTATTGGGCTTTCTAGCTAGGTTAATGCTCTCGCAAAGTAATTGATAATTTTAAGCGGAATAAATACACGACCACAAATGTCCACCAAAAATTTGGAAACTCTATTCAAATCAAATATTAGGTTTACGAAGAAACCGGACTCAATTTTTTAAAAATGATGAAAGCTGGATTCAGTTATTTTATGACAAAGGCACCGTGAGTAATAAGAGAAACCCTACCAACTAAATCTGGCCTAGTTTTCACCATTTTTAACTTCTTTTACAATTTTTCTTGTTTTTCAGAAATTTAAAATTTAAGAGTATCAATGTATATTTAACTTTTTACTTAGTTGTTATGTTAAGGTTTTGTATCCCTTTCTTATATAGTTGCTGGTCATACGTTGGAATGTATGGTGGAAGACAGCAGATCTCACTCGGACAGGGATGTTGGTATAAAGGAACCACTGCACACGAGATTGGTAAACTTGTAAACAGTTATATTTGTCGCTTTTGAAAGAAAGGAACCTAGCCTTGAAGGTGCCATCGACGACTCGTTTCTATACACATTTCGCTGAAGCTACACGCGCAGCGCAGTTGAAGCAGAAGAAGAGCCCAAAGAAAAGAAAAAAAAGAGCGGGTAGTGACTTCAAATCCAACAAACAGTCTTCCCGTACCTGTCCATCCTGTGGTAAAAGAATCCGTGCACAGATTGCCCTGATCAGCCACGCAAAGAAGCACAAATAAGGGTGTCTATGATCATCTTCGCTTACGAAGGAGGCACACAAATGCGCATTTTTGCCGTGTTAGCTTATGTCCTATGAATGGAAGTATCTTCTTGTTTTATCGTTTAGGGCACGCCCTGGGCTTCTACCATGAACAGTCCAGACCCGACCGTGACCTTTACGTGAAAATCATGCTGGAGAATATCTACGACGGTATTTCGTACAATTTATCACTTTAATTATTTCTATTATTGAGTTAGTTCAACATGAATAGAATCATAGAGCAATTTTCTTATTGATAATACCCCAAGTAGCATAAGCTCGCGTAAATAGCTATCTTAAATTTAATTTGTGAATATGTTTATTTGAATTATTTTAATGAGCAAAGTATAAGGATTTGTGGGATCAACGATTGCATCTAACCCAAAAATCTGAATTAGTCTTAAATAAAAGTAAACATTTTTCGCCGTTGTGTTTATTTAGTCGCAGCTCGTGAATCTAAGTTTTTCTTCCCTCATACACAATCATGAGCAGTAGTTTGTTCGTAGGCCGTGTTACATCAGTGGAAACTGTTAGATTTAAGACGAAGGCTAGGTGTCGAAATAATGGTCACTTCGTCGTAAAGTTGTCCGATTGCTTTTAGTAAGCGAATAAGTTAGTAATTAGCAAGTTTTTCAGTAATCGAGAGAGTACATCGGTTGATCAAAAAACCAATTCTTCTATGAATTCAACATTTAATCCTTCCCTCTCTGTCCTTTTTATCGCAGGGATGGCATACAACTTCAATAAGCACATGTCAATTGATTCACTCGGAACTCCTTACGACTATGGATCCATCATGCATTATGGGGCGCGCTATTTTTCAAAGAATGGACAACCAACTATTGTTCCTTTAAGAACCGGGGTCAGGGCATGTTTTGAGTCACTTTTTTATGTGGAGAGTGATAATTTCAATATGAATTGAAATCGCAAATGGTTGTTTTATTTCGTATTCATTTATTAATTTTTTTAATGTAAGCTTCAAATTTTGTATTGCCAGATAAAAACAGTAGAAGTGTGAACCACTTGTTGCAGTCCACAGACAAATCACCCTCTAATTAGGCTTTACTACAAATTTGCACCTTAATATGAAACATTTTTTCTTCAAGCAATTATTACATTAACTGAGCGAGTGGTTTAACTGGCAAAATAAGGAATAAAGTAAGGAAGAGGAACTTTGATTCTGCGTTGGTGGGGGATATTGCAAGATAATTTGGTTTATCAACTGAGATGATAGTGTAAATTGGCCACCGTATAGAGTTCATGTAGCTGACGTTTCGACTATCAGCCGGCCCTTCGAAGGGCTTTGAAACAATCCCTTGTTGTGAGCTAGATATAGGTTGATAAAAAGGAATATGATTTGATTTGGATGTGAGTTGAATATTTCCTTTTTTTCCCCAAACTTCATATTCAGGTTACCATCGGAAACAGAAAAGGGTTAAGCGATATTGACGCTTTACAGATGCGTAAACTGTACAGCTGTCCAGGTAATGTAGTAAGATATGATAAGTACACGTAGTGGAATCTGTTTGTTTCCAGGGACAAGAAAGTAGCATTTCTTATTGCAATATGAAGACTCCGGAGCTTACCATACTCAACATAAGAGTAAGAAACTGTCAGAACTTAAAAGGCACGGCCACTTTAGCTAATTACATTAGCATTAACGCGGCCAATTTCAAGATCGAGGCGGCCGCAAAGTGAACAACTCACTTCTTATAAATGATAAGCCCTGTCTGTGCTTAGATTTGAAAGTGAATTTTACCACATGCGATGGACATTTTAAAGAAAATAGTGCATTGGATATCTACAGGGAAGCTTTCTTTTTGGCCAAATTTGTCTTTTTGAACAGTTAAATGATGGAGATACAAAGTGTTCATTTTCCATAAAATCTCGATTTTAGGTGAAAATGGGTGAATAGATAAATGCCATTTTCGTTTGCTTTTCTTTTAGATACAACTGATGGACCACAAACAGTATTACCTCCAGGTAAAAAAAAAAAGAAAAATTTAAGCAAGAACTTTCCTCTAAAAAGCAAAAATTGTGAAACAGTCAAGAAGTCTCTACTTACTGTACATACCACTCGCTGCAATCTCCATGAAAAAGGTTGTGTAATTTAACCAACCCGTACACTAACACAGCCTTTCTGTTCGCTCTGCCAAAAAATTACGACAATTGTAGTTGATTTTTTACCTCATAATACTTGCTTATTTTTAATTACAGAAACTGCATGAAGATTCTTAAAGTGAAGTTGCAAACTTCTCTGTTCCATAAAACAGTGCATCCATTGTCAAGTCTTAAAGTATTGAATTTTTCAGCATTTATCAGGACTGCTGAACAATCGGTTTTAGGCAGAGGAAAATTTTAAAACAAAAAGCAGGCACGTTCTCCATCGTAATTAAAATTTCCCCGATTGAGCCACTGATGGGTAAATCAAGTGTTAATTTTAAATGTACAAATTTTCTCGGCAGAATAGTTTCGATCGAGAGATCTATACCATGTTTTAGCTGAAAAATATGGACTGAATCCCACTTGACAATACAATCCAGCACGTAGCTCGGGCTGCTGTAAGGGAGACTTAAGTTTCATTCACTTTTCTTTCAGCAACAAACATTCCACCTCCTCAGACAACACAGCCCCCTGGTAAGAATAAGACACAGTTGGCACATCCGTCTGACTTTTAACCGAGCGAGGAAAACCGTTCTTCAGTAATACGAGAACTTCGTAATGTAGATTCCTTTAGTATAGAATCAAGTTCCAAATTATTGAATAATTATGTTTATTCAAATAATTAATAGCAATTCATTAAAATACCCATCTACGTTTAAATTTAGCTCGGGACAACAACAGAAATATTTGTTGTCGTAAAAACAAGCTAGGTATTTGTTAGAAAAGTATTACAAAGAAAACGCCTTTTAAATACCAAAGCGGCAATCTTGTCTGGTGAATTGCATTTGAATAATTATGAGATTTTCCTGATGGCTATGACATCGTTGAGGCAGTTTTTCAAATTGATGAGTTTATCTTTTAATTCAGTTGATAGTTTGCTATTTCCTTAGCTAATCTTACAACAAATACGTGTATATATTTTCCCTGAGTAGCTGGCTGTAAAGACTCTGACGCTTATGGCAGCGAGTGTCCGACTCTGGCAAGCTATCCAGATTACTGCACGTACCATCACGATTGGACAAAGAAATATTGTGCCAAGTCTTGTGGCTGGTGTTGTAAGTATGAAATATCTGTAGAATTCAATGATTCTATTAGTTGTAAGGCCAGCTGCTCTTTTTGATGTTAATTTTGTGGTTTTGGTGGTTGTTATTTTGAATCAGATTAAGCTGAAATTAAACCAATTGAACACCCCGATTGATATCGGTTTGGGACCAACAAAAAATTGCTCCGTAAATAAGTCATCATTGTTACAGGTAAATATCGATCGTTTCCAGAATCTGGAGAATCATTGCTAAAATTTAGATTGAAAGAAGTGCGATGAATGTTAACTACTTTTCCGTCGACTCTTCGGATCCATGTTACAATAAAACTGCTTTGCTCTTCTTGTATCTTATGTGAATGCCATTGACACTGAATCTGTCCAATTTTTATTTCAAACTTTGCAGCTTGATTCAAACGTGGATACAATTTTACTGAAGTCAGAATACATTTATATTTCTGTAATTTTTGATGCCTTGCGTTGCTCATGATAAATCAGTGAAATAAAGTGTAAAACGATAGTTTATGAGTTGTTGTTAATGTATCAGTTATGTTCTCGAGTTCAATCTTTACAAGGGGCTGTCATACTTACCATGCATACTTCATCCTCACCCTTCCGCAGTCTATTAATGGACAAACTTTGCCTCTGTGTTTGTTCCTTTGCGTCCTTTGAATTTTCTTGTCAGGCCTACAGCTGCTTGGCTCGTCCTAATTTCTACTAGCGTTTACCTCCATTGTATATCTGCGCTCTGCTTTCTTTTACTTTACATGTTATGACTCCTCTTAAACATTATATTTTGTCCATTTGTTATTAGTTCATTCTTTCAGTTGAAAACTCATACTAAAACGGCTATTTGATCTTCTTTCCTTGTCTTCCTCTAGTTTCATTGTTCATCCAGAGAATTCCGTTGAATTCGGTTTATTCAACTCGAGATCTATCACTGAAAAACAAACCTTCTGTCCTTAATGAGTTTACGATCGAGAACAAAAATTGATGTCATGGCTTTAACAGAAACGTGGCTTTAGCCTGGTCATGTAGATCAAGCCTCGAAAAATGACAATTTTCCTCATAGTAATGCTTTTCGTTGTGTTGTTGTCGTCGTGCTTTGTAAAAAGGCCCTTCTTGCAAAGGTCAATCCTGCAAGGCGTTTTAATTCATTTGAATACATGGATCATCGCATTACATGCACTGACGAGAGCCTGATATAAAGCGCTTTAGAAAACCATAGGCTGAGAGCAGGGCCGCTTTTAGCCAGGGAAAAACGTGCACCGTGCAAATTAATGTATAATACCTGGTAGGAGTGAATTCAGGCGTACTCTTCTTGGTTTCCTGGGAGGAAGCTTATACTGATAAGCGGAGAACCTAAGGAACCTAGGCAATCTCATACGAGGGACTTAACCGCTGGATTGCCTTGTCAATTTAACACGAATTTGCAGATAGGACAAAGGCACTAGAAATATATTAACACAATTCTTATGCGAGTACCTACTAACGGTCCTAGTCGATGCTGCGTTTGTTTCAACAGTTGATTTAGATAAAACCTTTTATTTAGATGGAAGGTTTAAAAAGTAGATTAGTTACAGGGAGGCTAACGTTCTTCAAGCCGTTCTGCCGATCGATGTTTTTCCGTGTTTCGAGAAACGCTAATTAAATTTATCTACATGCTATTAAAGCGGGCTTCGGATGTACAAAACAAGAATGATAACAAAGAGAGATTAGCCTCATGATATTTTTACTTGTTTCTTGTACTCAGCTTTAATTTCTTGGATGCACATGACAGAAACATTTGACCGAAAACAGTTCAGTTGTAACTAGGAAGATGCGGGCATATGATGCCATTGAATTTCGCCATGCATTATGGCATTACTTTACGCAAACTGGGGGGGAGAGAGGAGCGGCAGACAAAAAAAAGATAGCGATTCAACTGAAGAAAAGTCTTAGTTTTTTTCACAGTCATTTCCTCTTGAGCCGTTTTTTCCCATTCGAAATTTTTCTGATAAATACGTCTCTGATTTTCTACAATAGTCTACTCATTTTTCTGCACTGAAAACTGTTTCGAAGAATTTTTTCCTACTTCCTATGGTTTTTTTTCTTGACAGGCCGTTTAAATGCCGGTCAAATTCTTTTTCATCGCTGTCACAAATTTTCCCCTTCTACTAATCCACAAGACGCAATTCAAAACTTCAAAAAAGGAGACTCGGTGAACCACTGCCAAGAGAAAGGACATCACTTACCATTTTGCTGAATATCGGGTAAGATAACCCTATCATATAGATGATAGAATTGACAGATAAGCAATCCTTAGTTTTGACATTCCCATCTGTAGCTCGTTTCCAAATAAACCCTTCGCATTGCATTTGGCGTAAATAACACAGCATTTCCCAGTTATAAGTGAGCAACTCCTCAATGAATCGAGAGTATCGATGATCTTAAGCCTCCGCTGTTGAGAGAACCAGCGGAATGAAAAAAAGGTGCGAAGAAGCTAGAATTTATGTGTCTGATCGATAGTGTGCTAGTCATATGGTTTGGACATAACGCAACGCCCAGCGGTACAACAGTTAAACGCAAATGTTACTCGAAAAAGGAGGAAGACACAGCATAATTATTTTTAATTTTTAATGCTAAATTTTAGCTCAATTCCATTTACTTATTCTTGCTTTCCATGGCGATCCTCTTGCGTATTGTGGCCTGAAAATTCGACAAAGAATGTAACGCATAAATATATCTAACGTTGCTTGCAAAAAGTGAATTGAGGACTGGCTTTTATAAACATCGCCTTTCATTCGTTTCTCTTTGAAAATGCTAAGCTCAGCAAATCGTTACAAAAAGCAACTTCTCTTGGGTGTTAAATATGGAAAGTTATCATTAGACCTTTAATATTTGAGGTGATCAGTATTTAAAAACAGTCACTGATTTAGAGAAATCAAAAATATAGATTAAAAAAGGACCCTTTGAATAAAAATGATTGACTGAAAGAAGGAATGACAGACTTACGAAGTGATGGTTTGGCATACTGACTGATGACTGTCTCAATTGGTAAGATGACGGCTTTTAGGGCTGATAGTAAAATTTAGGGCCATTTTTCTGCTACGGATGGCTGTTCAGCTAATTTCATCATAGTTATATAAGAATCTTATTTACAGATTGTGGACTATCCATTCTTACCCACATTTTATTCACAAGAGTATTTGATGTAAATGTACTTTGATGAAATCACTGGACATGGATTTCCAAATACATCGTTGGAAGCGTAAAGATTACAGTACTCCTTTTCATCGCAAGCTCGAGTGATCTTAGAACGAGAAAAAAATAAAAAAAAAATTGGCTTTTCATATGCTAATCTATTTCCCACTTTAAGCTTACAATAAACACAATAGACAAAGACAACCAAACAAAGCAAAAAAGATAACAAGATGAAAGCACTTGCACTATCACTCTCAAGAACCCTTTACCCCCAACCTTCCCAATCTTCTAAGACAAGGAAAGGAACTATTCAGGTGACCAATGACCACTTGTTATTGATAAAGTTTAGCATCGCACTTCATCTTTCCTTTATTTATGCCAAAAATAATTAAGTATTGATTACCGCAATTATCTTTATTATTATCATTATTATTATTGTTATTCGAGATGCATTATTGCTAACTGTACTTTTTCACGACTTAAAGAATGCATATGATTAAGGTGTAGGTAGGTATACATTAATTTGTTGCAGAGATATTACTTTTTCACTTAATTTACCTTTCCTTGGGACCCAGATGCTTTGCAATTTGTATTAAGCCCCATTCCGCATAAATAAAACTTTGTTCTTCCGTAGTAAGCGGAATGTACTTTTATTTTCCTTCCGCTGCAGCTAATTTTCTCTCTCTCGTCCTGACAAATTATCTTCTCGTGAAAATTGGAAGCTTTGATGGAGAAAGAAGACAAAAATCATAACAATAAAAAAAGTGTTTTGTTAAGCGGAGTGGATGGACAAAGTAGCCTTTCCTATAGAGAGTTACACATTAAACTATTTCACAACATAGTGATAATGTAAACCCTCAATGGTTTGAGATTTAGATGTATGGCGAAATAGTCTGTATAACCTAAGAAGACATAATAAGGCCGTTATTCCGCGAATTTCCACCGATTCTATGAAAAATTCTATTTGTTATAGAAGCGCTGTTTTGTCAAACTTTGTCTCCGACTATTTAAACGACTCTTTAAGTTCTATGTAATTTTATAGAAAGGTAAAATCTGATCCCACATTAAGGGAAATCAGATTTACCAGCTCATTCACACAGTCGGTAGCGAAAAAAATACCCGACTTTTAATTTTTTGATTTTTAATTGTTGATTTTCAATTTTAACTTATCTTAGATTACAAAGATATACTTTACATTGTCATATATTTATATCTAAATTTGTTTATTCATTTTATTTATTGAATTCACTTTTGCTTGTAGATAAATTAGGTATCGGCCAGATACACACGACCCCTCAAGCATGTGATGCTTTTATTCTCAACGTGTTTAAATAAAGGATCTTATTTTTTTTCTCACTCAAGAGATTATAAAGCTACAATTGATTGATAAGCCGATAGACTTACGCATGACTTCACCCTGGGTCTGATCGTGTACCCATGACATCAAATGACGTACTTTAGCATATACTCCAGGATAACCAGGACGAGCACACCCATATCCCCAGCTTGTGGCACCCTCTAAATACCACTTGTCGTTGTATTCGCAGACCAGCGGCCCACCGCTGTCTCCTTGGCATGCATCAACTCCGCCTTCGTCGAAACCAGCACACAACATTGATTCGTCAAAGCCATGAAGCATCCCTTTACAACGATCGTGTGAGTAGAGAGGTAGGTCGGCTTGCATTAGGTTTGTTGCTGATTGTCCGCCATCGGACAAACGCCCCCAGCCGGTTATCCAGCACTTTCTGTTTACGTCATCGACTGGCAAAGGAAGTCCAGGGTCTGGCATACACACGAGGCCTACACCTTTTCCAAGCTTCGCAGGCTTTTTGAGTTTTAATAGAGCGATATCGTTGCTTTCCTTTGTGGGCTTGTTATAGCTAGAGTGGACTATGATTTCTTCCACATCGATGTCTTGTTCCGTTCCAACTTTTTTGTATTTTGAGTGGGCCCCCATTCTGCAAACGACAAACTCAAGTAACTGAGCCATTCAACTATTTGTTATCCATTGGTTTATGAATGTAACCAAGAGAATATTCTCTTGATGTAACTGGAAGGAGGAAAAGCTATTATTTCACATTTCGCTAATTGAATATACATTATTTGCATAGTCTAAGGACACGTAATCAGTTAATTCTTTTTTTTTTCTTTTTTTTTTTTTTTTACTTTTCATCTTTTCCTTTGATTCCTACCCCCTATAAGTAGCGAACACAAAAGAGAAGAATCATCATCCTTTCTCACGGGTGGGGCGAATATTTTTCTGGCCTACAATTTAATAATGAAGATAGCTCCAAGACGGGGATGAGAAATAGTTGTATTTTTTTTAATTTAATCGGCCTTTCTTCCCGCGTTTTATGATTTTATGTATTCAGCAGCATGAACAATATTTTGCAAAAATTAGGACAGATAAAACGGCTGTTTGTAACGGCTATGACAGATGAAACGACTCTATGGCTATATGGCAACTGGTCACAGTTGCGAAATGTTATCACCTGACACGAGTTGTCTCTGGTTTCCGTGATTTCACACAATGTGCAGCAGTCAAGACCCAGTTCGGATGAACTAATGATCCCCCACAAAATTGTCCTCCTCTGGAAGTTGTAATCATAGCTTGCCATGGCCAGGAGTTCACTATGGCCTCTCGCCCTCCGACTATTCGTGTGCGTGGACGGTTACCGCAGGTTCCTGCTTCCAAAAATTAAAAAAAAAAGAAAAGAAAAAAAACAAGACATCTCCATAAAAGTCACGTTTCTTACAGCCTGAAGAGGTCGGCCTTTAAGTTGGACAAATCTTTATTTGAATCTATATGAATGTTCTCCATCATCGTCAATTTTTGATTTTGCCTTTCATTCCCTATTTGAATCATTTTCTCTTTCATAGTAGGAAAGCTTTCACTTAACGGTCACGTTTTAGGTAAAGGCAATTATATATGTATGACCCACCTTCCACCGACGTAAGAACTGCAAACATGTAAGATAAAATTAACGTCAATCGGAGCATGATGCTTGGACGTTTTGAGATCAAAGTTTATCTGATTTCAAGTATCAATATATTTATGACTAATACCCCTGTAAACATAAATGGGAATGCGGGCAGTGAATACCCGCAGGTCAGGCAGCTTTTTACACATGAATTTTTCATTTCTTTTAGCGTCGTTTGGCTGTCTAAACAACCGGCGCAACCTCCAAAAGATTTTGTTTACTGATTCGTTTCTTTCAATAATTGTAAAAACATTTAACTTTGCAATCTTATGGGTGAAAAGAAATTTGTATCGCGGCAAAACAAAGCTGATCAAAGCAGCAACAAAGCATGATTCTTTGATATTCATCAGCCGTAGATAAAATCTGATTCACACAAAAACTAAAATAGAGAAAATTTGTCACTGAAGTCAGCTGCTATGAAATTGTTTCAAGTTGATAGGATATTTTATTTCAAGCATCTGTATCTGTATTCTATCTCAAGTATCTATATGCTATTGTGCCACATGCCGTTTTTACTTCCATGTAGCCATATCATGTAAAAGTATGTACTAAACAAAGTGGATATCGCTGAAGAAGCGCTCTGATTGACCACTCAAACTCAGAATATCCCTTGTTATTCAACGCAACTCACTCGGGATTTGCACCCGAAAAATATTGTGATGGTTGCAAGAATAAATGAAGTAAAATCTTCATTTTGTGCTATATTATCTCACTTTTTTAGTCTATGCTATCGGTGGTTAGCCTCGCGACTCGGTAAATATCCACCACTAGCCACCGCTAATTCGGTGAATAGTTGTCAACTAGCCATGATTCACTTTTATTCAGATAAAGTTTACTCCTATGATGTCTGTGGCTATTTTTCGAGAACTGATCACCTCCTGAGTCAAATTAAATTGTAAATTTAGCAAGTAAATTATCTTGTAAATTATCTTATGTTGTTTAGATTAACAGTAAAAACTGAAAGAGAAAAAGACACCTATGAAATAGAGAAACTATACTTTTTCTTAACTATTTTTGAGACATAAAACAGGAAAGGACTTTTTAAGGCTCATAATGTAAACAGGAGATATCAGCAGTTCGCTTATTTAATCAGGACATAATGAGGTGTATTTGACAATGGTTGAGAACAAACTCATCCAAATCTCGAAAACGCGCTCATGCAAATGAAGGAGTATGTCAGTGACTTCTTCGAGATTGCTAGTTGCAGGTTGACGCTAACGTTTTTAAGAAAACTTGCAATAAGGAAAATATTAATAAATACCCGCTACAAGCGTTTAGTAGGTTTGAACGTGTCATTATTTTAAACAAAGTTCAACAATTAAATCGTCAATTTATCAAAGATTTCCCACGGTTGCTTCGCAAAGACTTTTCAAAAGCGACGTACTCAAAATACAGAGAGGTTTCTGAATAAGTAGGGAGTTTATATTACGTCTTTTAAAAGGTAATTCCGAGGTCATTGATAGCGATAGATATGCACCAGATTGGAGCAGTTACATTAAAAAGCCAATGGTCAGTACATTTTAAGCGATTTGATCCAGTTCCTCTTTGATTACCGTAATTGTTATCGTCATATCAGATGTGCTACTTAAAAACAGGTTCCTGTGTTTCAATTCAAAGTTTGTATGTCTGACTCATGCTTCATCAAGAAATTACCAGGCCAATGAATACACGATGATTTCATCAGTAAATTTATTATAATCCTTTTCCTTGTTCGCATGGCGCGGGAAAAGGTAGATGTAACAGAGGTATACGTATCTTTTTATCTTGTTGCGAATCAGCTAGTCGGTCCCGTCCTCTGATCCAACTGAATCTTTCTTGAGGGAGTAGTGGTCGTTTACGGAACTGTTGACGCTAGAGGCTTTGGCTATTTTTGCCGTCATTTTCGAGGGTAAATAAAAATATTCAGTTATACTGTCATTTCCTGTTTTGATTTGTTCAACAGAGTATTTATATTGTGAAATATGGAAACCATTTTTTAGTGAAACATTTGGCGATTTTATGTCTTCCATTCTTACTGTTGAGTTTTCACTACTTTTGCTGAGGGATACTATTTGCGTTGAGTTTTCATTTCTGGTATCACGAAGAGATCTGTATTTCGCTTGAAGATGCATAGGTAACAAACTTATTAAAGTGTCTCTTTTGATTGGAAAATAAAACAACTTTTCTTTTTTTGCGGATTTTGCATGCGGATGACCTTTTACTGCATCCTTCAAGTATCCTTGTTTTGCTAATGGTGACGTTATGTTTAACGGAAGTCTTAATTGCATACCCAACGTGCTCCTATTTTTTGCCTGTAAAGTTAAAGTAGCTGGTTTAACTGAGAACTGCTGAAGTGGACCCTCAGTTTTTTGCAAAGACTGTAGATTGGATCCCTTCCTTGAGGAAGCATATGATGGGCTTCTTGTAAGTGACAGGACTCTGTCTTGTGATTGGTTGATAGTATTCGCATTAATTCCGAGAGACTTTGTTTCATTAATAATGGAGGAATCGGCTTTTTCGCCGTTTACTTTAACAGGCTGGAGATTGACGTCTTGGACATTTTGATTCCGTATTGATGATACTTTGCTAAATCCTGAATTGCTAAGAGGAGCAGCTACGGGGCTTTCCACTTGCTCTTGAATTCTGTTTTGTGATTGGCTGAGACGTTTCGTGTTAACTCCAAGGGATGTGATTTCGTTGGAAAATGGTGAATGAACGTTTTTCTGATTATCTTTAAGCGGTTGCAAAGTCAGATGTTTGAGATTTTGGTCTAAGGCTTTTGATTTTTTTTGAAATTCTGACCGTTGCGATGGAGGAGACAAGGCAGCTTGCCATGAGGCCAAACGTGGCATGATTTCAGTAGCTGTCGCTCGACTTCTGTCCAAAACCTCTCTGTCAACCGCTGATGATATCAGCGTAGTATAGGTAAGACCCTTAGGTGAATATGTTTCCAATATTGGATTAATTTGCTGCTGGTTTAGCTCTGAAGCTGCCAAGGTAGTTACTTTGGAACTTGTCGGAATTTTTCTGTCAATACTGGGTCTTGGGTAAAATTGTTGAGGAGTTTTTGGATAAAGAACGCTTACCGAGGTACCACGTATTGGTGGCACAGTCTTGGACCCAAGAACAGTCCTCGGTTGAAAACTTCCTTGTAAATTTTGATTCGTAGAAATTCTCTCCGCACTCATACCTTGCACGTTATAATTATTTGTATCCAATAACTCGAACGCTTCTCGCTGTTGGCGTTGTTTGTCCACCATTTCTTGGGGAGAGCTTTGATCCAAGCGGTTTCTTAATTCTTGCATCGGCGTAAAAAATCGTTTGCTCGACAACTGTGGCTGCATGTCCTTCTGTTTTTGGCTCAGCTGTTCGAATCGTGCTAGCTGCTTTTGTCTTTGTTGCTGTTGTACTTTTAGCTGCTGCTGTTTTTGTACTTCTAGGGCTTTAAGTCCCAGAGTGGGAAGAGCTCGTTTATCACTGTATACCTGCTGGGCACGCTGAATGTAATCAAATAGATGAATGTATCTACGGAAAAATCAAATTCAAAGTGTCTGGTGGAGAGCTGAGAACAGTCTTATTTCAAGCAGGTTACACTTCCCTACAGATAGAATATATATATATATATGTGTACATATACATATATATGTGTATATATATATATATATATATATATATATATATATTATATAACAAGCTCAGTTATGCACGCATTCTGATTGGTTCTCACTAATGATCTATTGGAGGCCAGACGTATAGATGAAGTCATCATTAAAACTTTTTTTTAATTCTTTATTATATAAAACAAATAGATTCCAAGTTGCCGTGCGTCTGTTCAGTAATAGATCACAGAGGACGTCAAAATGTTCTTACCACATTTTGACGTCATCTGCGATCTATTATTGAACAGACGCACAGCAACTTGGAATCTATTTGTTAAATATATATATATATATATATATATATATATATGTATATATATATATATATATATATATATACATATATACATATATATATATATATATAAGTGAAAGAATCAAAGAAGACGCATCGATTCTCTGTTACTCTGAGTTTCACGCCTAAGCGCTCGTCAGACAGAGCCTCTTTGATTCTTTCACTTACATATACTCAGCTCTGCTACCACAGCATTGAGCACTTTATGCCAAGGTAGACTCTACCCCCACATTTATATATACATATATATATATGATTAATGTGTTAAGCTCACTGCGAAACGGACCAGTTTTTTTATTGATGGCTATAGTCTGGGAAATTCGGCTCATTTTCCTGCGTAGTTTAAAGAAGGTTTGATAAGCAAGAAATAAGGGAATGTTTCGTATCCTTTCTATTTTTCATTTTAAACCTTAAAACGATGCACTTAAGCACTTAAGCTTAGTGCTGACAAAGCAAACAACTCTGACAGTACGTCAGCCTAAAAAGAAATGACAGAGAGTGAGCTAACCGGCCACTAAAACAAACAAATTCATCATATACCATTACATTTTCTTCAGATCTCTTGTTCAGAATTCACCCTTGGAAGTTAGGAAAACTTAACGAGGCAGATATGAGATACTTCAAAACTGCAAGTCTCACCTGGCGTTTTGTTGACCAGTCTGCACAAGTTGCATTTGCTGATTGTTTGGTAAAATTGCTTGATAGGTCTGATGAATTTTCGCAGCAATCTGCGCTCTGCGGGCCGTTAGATCTTTTGTTGTTGTACTTTCTAGGCTGTTAACGAGAAAAGAAGAGTGTTGACAGAAAAAGTATGACCTATCAAGTAGATATTAAATCAAGAATGTGATTGATTTAATATTTTCCAACCGAATAAGTGAGTACCTAACTAAATCGGTCTTGAAAATCTAAATAAATTATAAGCGAAAGACACCTGAACATTGTTTATTGCTATTTATACCTTCCGGGCCCAAATGGAAAATCCATAATTTTGCTTCCTTGTCAATAATTCAAATTTCTTTTTGTATCCTTAATAATCTCTAACAAAAATTTATAACAAAAAAGGGCTAACACTCGAAACTTCAATTTTATGGAAACTTTTTACGGCGTCCAAATTACACTTTTAACTTAGTAGATTAACCAAATTACTTTGATATAGTCCCACCTGCGCAGCAACAGAGTTTCTTCTGATACTTATTCCCTTTGTCTAATACAACCTTTCACTGAGGTTTGATTTACCTTTTTCTTCTCAGACAATTAGGCCAGGGGATAGTTTGTCCTTCGGGATAAGTGAACCACTCTCCGGTGAGAGGTCCACACATGTACACCACTGCAGGCTTTGACTCAAACACAAAACCATCATCGCACTCGGGAGCACAAAACAAACGAAACAAGCTGTCACAAACCACGCGCCCGTGCGTTGGGTTTGGGTACCGCTTACATCGTTCAACCGAATCTAAAAATAAATTGAAAAAATAAAATAAACGTTTCAGACATCAAAAAACATCAAATTTTTGCTAAGTACGACGTCTGTGGAAATCTGAGCCTCATTCAGTTCAAACTGATTTTGAGGTATATCTCTTTACTAAATAACTTACAAGGAGCCCTCTGATGAGCAAAGTCATACATGGACAAGAGCTCCATAGGGGACAAGAGCCCTGTATAATTATAAGACTAGGCGAAAGCGTTCTATTTGGAAACAAGAGAGATCATAAATATAAAGCTCTTCTGTCTACTAGAATAGATGAGTGCCGTTGAATAATTCTTAGATAGGCTTTGACCTCAAAGGGGGGAGGTATTTAAATGGGATGAAAAAGTTTTTCAGTGGTAAATATTATTTACCGTCCACCGCTTACCTGTTGTTCCCAACAGCTGAGCACTTACAGCCAACAGCATGAGAATGGCGGGAACGTCCATAAATACCATCTTTCCTCTGAAGCTAACTCATGAGGCCACGAGTGATTTTCACTCTGATAAAAGAATGGATAAATAAAGATATAGAATAATAAAAAAAGGTACAGAGTGAGATAGATGACAGGAATTTTCCTCGTTCACAGCAGGTGGGTTTGTCGCTCAGTTGAAATGAAGGGTAGTTCGCATGATTTCCTATCCCATAATTATCTGAACAAACGTGAGATCTTTGAACTTTGTTATTCTATTTACACTGACTCATGATGCTTTCCACATTATTGGTCCTAACAGCGAGCCGGAAGCGTGTGGCACAATGACCTCGTAATGATCTAACTCACCGCAGAGTCTCTGTGGCTCAGTGGTAGAGCATCGGAGCGTAAGACCCGAAGGCCTGACTTAAGATTCCACGCTCGTGACAGGACATGAAAACGGTTTTTTCCCCTCTAATAACGTTAATTTTTTCTGCCTAAATTATGTACATTTTCCTCGTAAGCGGTTTTTGAAAGTTAGACTTGACACAAGAATAAAATTTTTGTTAGTTATTCGACATTTGCCTGAGAATTCACATGGAATAGAAATTACAAATCGCATATTATAACTTTTCTCTCGTAAAGAGTTCCTTGCGATAGTGGTCTGTAATGGTTAGACACCTACCATGGTCTCTTGTTTACGCACGGTGAGCCCATTCGTGTTCTAGTGGCCTTCAAGCAGAACGGTGAAAAATTGATGAAAATGAACCGAGCTCTTTTAATTTTGATACTCTATTATCCCAAACTTACTTCAAAAGTCAATGTGAATCGCGTGGCCGATGTTAATTGTAGTATTCCTTTTGTTGGCAGCGTTGGTATCGAAGCGAAGATGTCGAATTTCACAATAAAAATCTCCTGCAGAGATGCCTGAAGTCCATTCTTTTCTTTGTGTGAAACACGTTAACTGAACAATTCTCGATAACGTGAATATTGTTACACTGGATTCAGCTTCTGACGGCAAAGATCCATTTACTGACATCTGATATCGTATAAACGATATAATTGCGGTTCGAGCACAAAGTTTATTGTCTAAGATTTACCCGTGCTCTTTACTGATCATTTTCTTTATTCTCTCAAGTACACTCATGTAGTACCTGCCATGAATTCATGGAAGAATTTCAGCCTCGAACAAAAAAAAATACGATGCTTGTTGACTTTACTTAGGGCAGGTATGACCTGTTTTAACCACTCAACTTTTAAACCCATCAACAGGTGGGCCATTTTAGTGTTTTCTGCTTTGACCTCAGACTTCTCTTCTGGTGGAGTTCACAGTTACTGCCCCTTGTATGTTAATCTGTGTTACGATATTGCTTCATTTGCCATCTCTGTTCAGTTGATGCTTAAAAACTAGAAAATGAACTGAAAGTGTTCGATATATGTACTCTTAGGTGTACGTTTGAAAAAGACTGGTAACCTACATTACGTCTTGCTTCGTCACAAAGCTAGTAATGTGACGTATCCGATAATTTTCAGTACTGAAAATTGAAATGTTGTTAGAAACGAGGCACGGAACTAAATTTTGCTAACTTGATATACTTTTGTATTTTCTCAAGCCTTCTTTCCATTCACTTGCTTTAAACTGACCCAAAACTTGCAGTTAGCGCGTTCGATTAAGGACCGAAGAGTTTGGGCTCGAGTTTCGTGCAGACCATTTAAGTTATAGTGTTTAACAATAATTTTTTAATGTCAACCAAACTTATAAATGGGAGCCGCTGAAATGTCAGGGAACAAAATCCTGAGGGATCAGTGGTGATAGAATATAATTTTCTCCAGGAGAAAAGGCAATTTATCAAGTCGCCTCTTGCTACCCGAGCCGTAGTAGAGTCCTAAACAAAATTCGACCATTTGGCTGAACTTTTTTGAATTTGAGATTACACTCTATGTAACGAGTGAAAAATACTCAAAAACTCGTGGAAATTCATTATGGCTTCTTTATTTGTTCCTTAAATCTCACAAGAAACTTTTCATCTACCCTCTACATAGCCCGAGCTGTTTTGTTGAGTTGCATTCAAACTTCTCGCTTTTTTAACGAATCGACAGGTACCGCAGGCCAAGGCCAAAAGGCGTTCTTGGTTTTAGCCATGGTTGCATTCAGCCATTCCATCTCAGGAAATGCGCGTACAAGTACTTTCCTCATGTTTGTGTCTTTAATCCACTTCAAGCCTTCGGGCGAGTAAGTCTCGTTGTTGAAATTGTCCGTCATAAACCTGGAAAATAAATGCCATCGTCATTATCCTGTATCGCAACATACCATTATGGACACCGTGTCTTTTCGCTTTACAGGGAGAAAAAGTGACAAAGTAGATAGCATATTTCAATAATAATTATTAAAAGGTAGGAACAGATTTCTTTTGTTAAGATCTTGGTGGAGACAGATGAGAGATCGTGAACACATTTTAATACAAACTCGCCACTTGCTAGTAGACTCGCTCGTTTTTCAAATGTCTCCCAAGTCTGCCTCATTTTTCACTCTGTGCTACCACTGAGTGTCGCAAAACTAAGGTTATCCAATGGTCAAAGTGAACAATGAAAAATGTAATAATGAACCAGTGACACTTCATAACTGCAAGGATAAGAAAACTGCATGAAGCGTGCTTAAAAAAGTGAACAAGTCGCAATTTGTTTTATTTTTCTATTTAATGGGCTGATGCAAATGCACAGTGAAAGCAAAGCAATCCTGGGTCACTTTCGACGCACGATTAAAATTGCGCAAAGGGGCCAATCTACTGACAGAACGTCTGGCTCGTTCGCGAACAGGGTAATACAAACACGTGAATGAAATGGTATCATGTTCTTAATTGCGACAATCTTTATTTATTAATTCACTGAGGTTTGGAACAAACATCAAAGCAAGGACGTTTCTTTGTGAAGTTAACTGTCACTGACCTGTCTGCCTCCACTCTCCGAGTGGCCATAGTAACAAATATTCTGAAAGGTGTATCACCAAAACCCCACCCAACTGGTAAAGGGTCCTCTGCAAGACAACCTATCAACAGGTCTACTTTCTCGATATCGCCGTCGTACAGCTCCTTGAGTAGCACCTGGTGCTTTTTATTTCTTGTAAGCTTTTCAAATGTGGCAGCGGGAGGGAGATTTATCAGTCTTCTGAATTCATTGTACCGTGGGATTCCTCTCTCGCGGTCACGCAATATGTCAATTGTTGCGAGGTCGATTGTCTATTAAATGATAAAAGATGACGAATGTAAATGAAAATTGTACCAAAATCAGGCCACGCTCACTAACTAAGATTCGGGGGAAAATTTTGGGGACATGATCCTCACTGTCATCGTCCTTCCTTCGTGCAATAGTGGCTTAACAATAAAACTCAAACATTATTTTGATCGTAATAGGCAGCTTACAAGAAAAAAGGAGAGGTAAATAAGGCTGGTTACGTCCCCACGAATTTATATATTCTGCCTCAGACTTTATTTGCCATGCATTGGTGATACAATAACGCAACTGAGATATCGATAGTGTTGAAAATCAACTTGACGTTTTCGCAAGACCTAAAACACACGATTTGGCATGATAATTCTAATAACTAAATGCAAAATAAAAGAAAATAACAACAACAAACAGCAGCAGTAGCAACAACCAACACACACGCACGCACACACAAAAAAAACTTATTTGAATTTTATGTTCTTCACTTAACATTTGCTGTTGACTCCAATCTATCATGATGGTACAATTAGCCTGATCTGGTTCTTCTACTTCATACATAAAGTTATTGATCCAACTCTTGTCCCATCCTTCATACTCCCACCCCAGGATTTTGCTTTTTCTTCCCAATATGTACCGAAAAATCTTTCCCTTAGATTTTTTGTACCTCTCCATCTTGCTGATGATTGGGTAACGTTAGGTTCCTGAGGTGTGTAGGGTAGTTATGAAGACGAAGTGCGCCTGGATGCTCCACACCGAATGTAAACACAATGTCGTCCATGCTGTTCTCTTTTGTGATGTTCCTGGCCCCAGCAAAAGAAAATTCTGGGAGTGAGTATGATTTTCCTGTCCTCTTACCACTTGAGGCATTTCGAAGATATAGATCATCAGGCAGAAATGGGTGCATTCGATACACTGCTGAAAATTCCTCTGTCAAGGAGAAAGGAACCCCATGGTACTCACTTGGCTGTCCCACGAGAGGCTTCAGTATATCAGCGCTCGCTGATACACTGATGTTGTGATCAGCCATCCAATCATAAATTTCCTTTTCGAGTGGCATGTCAAAATTCAAATATACTCCGTTGCGGAGAGCAGAGCTGTTTAAGACAGCTGGTGTCCATTCCACCGTGTGAATTTTCTGAAGCCCGGCAGCGTTGATCAACCAGTGGGAGAAATTAAAAGGAAGAAATATATAAAGAACATGGAAAGCTTTCATTTGAAACTAATAGGCGTTAATATGTCGTCCACCACATTTGCAAAGGTAATTAAATGATTTCTAATAAAATTTTGAAATTAATTTGCACGAGTAAATTTCTAAAAGGTTTAAAAAAACTGCTCTAAGGTGTAAGGTTAGCGCAATCTGCGGTGTTTGGAAAATCTGCGAGAGCTGATGTATACCTAATTGCATGAGATAAATCCTGCGATTGCTTGTTAAAAAAATGCATGCAAAACTTTGCCTCTGTTTTTGTCCTTCGAGCTTTTCAATTCTTTACTCTTTCTTCCCTCGGTATTGCTTAATGGCAGTAACAACTGCACGGAGGCTGCATGGCTCGTAATCTTCCGGGTTTTCTTTTCGAACTGTTGCGAAAAGCTCCTCGGGAATTTTGTGTTATGCTTCCAGCTCCCTCTTTTCACTACTGTTTTCTAGTCATAATCCCTTGAGAGGCCCATGAATTCCACACTAAGTTAGTTATTGGTGTTTTGTCGGGAGCTTTTGTTCTCTGCATTCTTCTTCGAATTCTTAATAAAATGATATTATTTTCTTCTAGTCTGTCCACTATTTTGTTTTGTTGCGCTTGCGCAACTTCCCTGCCAATCAATGTAATTCGATTTACTGCACCACATTGCAACCCTTTTAGTCTTAATTTCATCTTTCTACATGGAGATTATTTAACATGTGATCTCAGCCAAAGAGCGCGAAAAAATTTTTAACATGTATATCAAAAAAGTAAGAACTATGTGTTACTCTAAGTATCTTTTCAGAAACTCAGGATTATTCTTTCTCTAAAAGAAGTTGGGTAGGGATACCAATTTGTCAAAACTGAAATGAAAAAATCGAGGAAAAAGCAGCGAAAAGGGTTCAGGAATGAGAGAAATTACACGGATTGCAAATAACAAACCAAGTTGAGCCGAGGGCGATGGAAGAAGTTTATCCATTCTGTAATCTTTTTATATTTAAAACGCAGGCTCACATTAATGAGAGTCCCAGCCAAAATGTTTGATTTTCTTACATCCATTGTTGTTTGGCAATTACGCCTAATACTTATATCAGCAAACACGCCTACTCTAAAAGTCGCTTGCTAAGTTAAACGTGGTACTACCTGGCAGTGTTGTACAATTTCTGGTCGTCCCAATGAGGATAATGCGATTTCAACATGTCACAGATAAAATTGTGCTCCCGGGTAAATATGTTGTGCAGAAGAGAGAGACCGATCCACCAATTCTGATTAAAACCTAAGAAATTACAAGTCGCATAGGTGAATACTCTGGGATAAGCTAACCAATGATCACAAGCAAGAGGATTAACATCTTTTAGTTAAAATACCGACCGTGGACCGCACGGGTAACATGCTATTTGAAGTCCCCAACAAAAAGGCAGGACAATTATGCTCCAATTCTTGCTCTGAATAAGCTATTATGCTAAAATGAAATCGCTAACAGTTGTAAATCCTAAATGAACTGTGAGTCAAATTCAAGTGAAATAATCCTCGCAGGTGTGCTACAATTAAGCAATTGCGTGTGTCAGAAGCGCCTAACAAAAATTTGAGAAACACAGGCTTGTACCGCGTGGAAGCCTTATCATTTTCATGCCGCTTTTCCTGAGAGGATCATTTATCTATCAAGTTATTAATCCATATCCATCCTGGCAAAACAAGTTCAGTGCGATCATTAAAATCAATGTAAATTGAAAGCAAATCACAGTCACATACCATCCTCGAAAACGCACTTTTCGCCCCAAAAAAAGGCTTTGGCACAAAAAATGCTATTTTCCTCCAAACAACATTTAAAATTTAATTAACAAACACACCAGTAATATCAATGCCAGTTTTCTTATCGATTGGCAGGAGGCCATCCTCATCTGAAACATTCATTTTTCCATCTTTGAAGCTGCGTAGTTTTGCACTTGTCTGTTCATCGCTGCCATACAACTGCGATCCGTCCCACCAGTGCGTTACATCATTCTGAAAGGTTGCAGGACCATCTTTATTCTGTCAAAAAAAAAGAGTAGAAAACCCTATGTCACATGCAAAATGACTGAGAAACGTCACCATACGACCACATATGTAAAGGAATTCGCCGCCATTTCGGGGAAGCTTTTCACATCGACCTTGATCTCTTTGCAATGTCCTCAATGTCTGCTCCACGCCTAGTTCAAAGATGATTAAAAATGTTTTAAATGAGGAGTAAACGAGAATTCTGTCACTTAATTACTTCTCTGAATAGTCATTTCTTCGTCATAATGCTTACCCTCAATGAAATTCTTTATCTTACGAAAATGATCAACTGGTTTATGTTACCGAGAATTGCTTGCAGTTGTCCTCTTTAGTTCGTGGAATTTCCATTTCTCCTTTGAATTTATGATAATCGGGATCGTCTTTGTGGAGTTTGATCTTTATTCTGCATGATGTATCTACCGGTCCGTGGTCAAACCAGTCGTGGAGCATCATCTGTAAAAAGCCTACGGTCAACAGGTTCAACGTCGTGGCGGGAATAAATTTGTCTCTGGCCATCAACCTGAATTTACAATAAGAATAAAATGCTTTGAAACAGTTAGCAAATCAACAAATCTTTGGTAAGGAAACGACCATACTAAGACTCCTTCTTGTCACCCTTACAGAGGGTTGTCATCTTATCCTCCGGAGATACACAAAGGGAGAGATTATTTCCATCAAGTGTCGTCAAAGCAAAAGCACAGTGTAATCATGATTGCCACGGAAAAAGAAAATGTTTATTTGTTAAATTATTAATCTATATCCATCCCGGTGAAACAAGTTCAGAGCGATCTTTAAAATCAGTGTAAACTTAAAGGAAATAATATCACATACCATCCACGTCAATGCAATTTTAGCCAAAAAAAGCCTCTATACAAATAATGCTATTTTCCCTCAAGTAACCTTGCAAAATTTAACTACAAACGCACCAGTAATATCAATGCCAGTTTTCGTATCGATTGGTAGGAGACCATCTTCATCTAAAAAGTTTAATTAGCAAACCTCTTAAAGAGAGAGAAAAAGTTGGAGAATAAGACGTGAGTGTTGCTAATTTTGCAGTTGGAAGGGTACCTGGCCTCCAGCCTAGTCAAGCAAATTCCTCCTGTGCGGTACCCAGGAAGAATACTCAGTAAAAAATTGTTCTAAAATCGCAAGAACTACACCCTTAGTATAGGTTGAATTAATTACTCTATTGACCTACCTTTTGCTCAACTCTCTTGGGGATGGTTCAAATAGGTTTTTGTCCTCAAACGTCTTCGTGCGATTTATGTTTCTACCAAACCGGTAATACCTGCTTCCCGAAGCCGGATGATTCAGGTCATTACAGGTTCCGTCATGGGTCCTTACTGATTTCATTTCCTCTGTACAGAACACTAGGAGGAAAGGTCGGTAACAGTTATTCGTTTGAACTTAAGTAAGGTATACATTCTTGCTAGTGTATATCTTCGTCTCGCCACATTTTGAAGTCCGGTTTATTTATTTTTAAGAAAACCGTTCACTTAAGTCTTCTTTCAGTATCATCTTCAGACAACTATACGCAAATTAGAAAGAAATTTTCCAAGGAAATCTCCATAACTTTCAGCGAGAAAATGTAAATGTATTTGAATGGCACTACGGTAAATAAGACACCCCTAGAAAACAGACAAAAATAAACAAAGAAATTGACGTAGGCTTTCACTCTGAAGATGTCTCACTGCTAAGTTCTATTTGTATCATTCTTACTAAAACATTACAGGGCAAGGAGACGAAAGGAACTTAGCCATCCAAAATTTGTCACGTTGTCGTGCGTGAATGGCGAACCCGACCCACAACAAAGTGAAGCGAGTGTTGTCACCAATGTGATTCCCTTAAAGGTCTTTCGACCCACCCTTTCCTCTACAACTCAAATGACAAATAATTTTATCTTACTTGTTCTGAAGATTTCAATCTGAGAAGATTTACCACATCCAGACTTGCCCTTCTTACATTCCACATATTTCAAGATTTTATCACCACAAAAACACTTTCGATAGTGATCAAAGCCTGCATAAGCGTATCTGTTATCTTTACAGTGGTTCACACACTCTTCAATGTTGAGTCCATCCTTTTGGTGCAAATATGGAAAAGGCTCTTTGGTGACACAGCCCAGGGATATATGACCTGCAATAGTTTTCAAAGGAAATGTGAACTCTTTTCTGAATCCCCCTAAGATGATTTAGTAATTTAACATAGGTTTGTAATGATAGGCCTACATAGAACGGAAGTGCTGCAGAACGTTCAGAACTGTGACCCTACTGACTTAGGAAACAGAATTAAGGTTGCGTCTCAGAAGTGAAATACCCAATAACGTCCGGCGTTCATCTCCGCTTTCTATTACTTTAGACGACTTGGGGTGTGTTCACCAATCCTGGATGGGATGTTTCCCTACAGCTAGATCCCCCAGAGTAATTAAGATTTCAGAAGCTCATACAACCTGTCCGGTACCCGTAAGGGTTAATGAGTTTCCACGGGTCTGTCATTCATTTCCCCGCTAGAGTTCTTCCCTCTTGTCTCCTGGGCAAGAAGAAAGGCACTATTCAACTGCACCTTGCGACATAAGCATCTTCATACACTACAGTAACCATTTAAGGCAGACGAAACTCCCGCATTTTTCATGGGTGTATCTTTCTGGTTTCAAGCTGAGTCAGTAATTCATTCACGTGTATACTACATTTTTACCTATCAAGGGGTCCTGACAGTCATACTTCGGTCCCATTTTTTCCAGAGAGTAGCTATCGAATAAATTGTTTCTAAACATAAAATCTCGTTGATTCAATTGGTAAACCATAGCGAGCACGACCGGAAGCTTCCACCAATACTTCACATGAGGAAGAAGTACTTGAATGAGGTGGACAATCTTTGCAATCAGTGGATTCATCTTTTCCTGAAGAAATAACAACGGAAACACAAAATCAACTTACTATCGTTGAGTTGCTGTTTCATTGTTTATAGAACGGAAAAAATTACTCAACAGTTGTGGAAATCTCTCTTGAATTCTAAATGTTTCGTACTGAAATAAAGACGGGTAAATTTATGAAGAAAATGTTGGTTTTCAAGACAATTATGGCGTCAAAATTGTTTTTATGTTTGTCCTTTCTAAGTTCGGGTACTTTAGTAAGCCCCCATTCCATATTTTCCGCTTAAAGTTGTTCAAATTTGATTAGAGCATTTGAAGCCTTTAAATGAAATCACTTGCGTCTTCCTTAGTTCCAACACACACTCGTAAGGCACTTTTTAAAAGGACGAAATTCTAAACTCGTGCATGTGGTTGCCAGAGAAACTGCCAACCTCTTATTGCACCTCATGGATCCATTGTTCTCGTCTAACACCTCCACTGAATAACCGACTCAAATTAACCCACAACAAAAAGCCTGACTTGAAAAGTTCTGTGTAGAGAATCAAGTGTAGAGGATTCGTTGAGAACAACGTCAGCGATCGAGACAGGGTGTTCATTTCCTCCTGAAGATCTATGCAAATTATTGAGCGGAGTTGTTCAACGTTCGAAAAGTTGAAATTCAAGAGACTTTTTAATCTCTGTCTAAGGTACGTTGAGGAAGGGACATATAGCCGCGTTATATGAATCATTTGCACTAGCATTTTACAACGGCCATCAGTGGCATGTTTTTTCTGGAGTCCATAATCATTTTAAGTCGAAAGTCAGGATGAGAGTTTTTTCCATTTTATCTTATGGTATTTTTGTTTGTTTGTTTGTTTTCCGCCTATCATCCTTTGGGATTACAAAAACATTTCGCTGTATTAAATATCCGACGGAATTATTATGAGAGTAACGTGAAGGACAAAATCAACGGAGTTGAATTACGACGACATACTGCAAAAATTAAGACTGGATTTTTCGAGGTAGAAATGTCGTGCATTCTTAAAGCTTTCAAATAATGAATAATGGCAGAAAGGTATGAGAGCTGTAATTACTGATTACAGGGACTTGAACCCACGACGGCGACGGTGATGACAACAACACAGTAGAGACATCTTTAACTCTAATGTCAAAGCAGCTAATTCTATCAACTCGAGAGGTTGCATGGCATCTCCTTTATATCAGATGCAAATTAGCTAGCATGATAGTTACAGTGCCTCGCTGTTTGGTTGCAATAGCAACGGTAACTTATCTCATTGAAACGCGTGGGTGAATACGTTTCTATTGCATAACGGCCTTTCTTTCGAAAAAAGCCCCTTTTGTTGTTTTTCCGAAAGAAACGGTCGATCAGAAAAAACGCATCAATACGAGATACAAACTGACGTCAAAAGAAAACAAAATAGAAACTAAACAATTTAAACTATAAATGCTACCCTTGTAGTGCGGAAGAAAAGGTAATGAAAATGAAAACGAGGTGAAGATGTTGTCTTCGTAAGTCCATCTTAGGTATTACTTAGTATCTTTGGATCTTTCCAGGACAGCCATCATCATTTTTTTTGGAGTGTATAAATTTGATGTGAACGTAATAAAAGGGAAATATAAATCAATAAATATAGCACAAACTTAATTTGGGTACGAAACTGAAGAGATGGCGAAATATAATGTATGCGATTGACTGCGAAACGGTCAGGCCAGCGTTTTTCCTTTGATCCCAAGCTTGTTCCATTTCTAAAGGAAATCTAAAGACGGGGAAGCCCTATTTGTGACTTAGAAATGAGTTGTGAGTATTTCTTTTCCTCTCCTATTGCGCATGCAAAGTAATTTTTGAGGCTTTCACTAGAAAGCACCTGGGGAAATCTTCGCGGCTTTGTGCACCATGGTTGTTGGCCCTTTTTTTTTCGCAATCAAGCGAGTTGTAGACGAGCATGATACTACTACTCGAGAGTTAAAGACATCTTAGAGAAGACATGCGAAATATGTGAAATGAAAAAACCAAAACGAAACGAAGAAATTAACATACGGTCGACCCTTATTTTTTTGACAGAGTTCGTTCACCACTTCTTTCACGCCATGAACAAACAAAAAACATCCACAATAATCTTTAGCTCAGATCAGTTCCAACTGCTAGATGCCAATTTCAGCGTCAAATTAAAACTAATTTCCAAACCTCCAGGCCAATAATGAACTAAAAGATGGCACATGAAAAGAACGTAAGTTTGTAAAGAAACTGTGGTGCTACGTAGCTGGGAGAGTATAACAGAGTAATTTGGTATTATCAACTGAGTTAAGAACGTAAATTGGCCACCGTAAAGAGTTTCGAAGCTGGCGTTTAGAGCGTTAGCCCGTTGTCAGAGTGAAAAAAACATCCTTAAAAAACAGCCATAAAGGTGACACAGATAACCAAAGTGATTAGATATCCTTAACACCAAAAAGAAATACAGGGAGAACTTACCCAGGCGTTGAGTACCTGAATGATTCGACTGATAAAGGAAAGTGCGCAAGTTCACTTCTTTATACCATTAGGCCTTTATATATTTAGCTTATATCTCAATAATCAAGCATGTCACTCCGTTTAATTGGAGCTGGGGGCAGATCCGTCTAAGTAGGGAGAATTTGCTAAACGATAAAATTAAAGCATGTCTCATCTAGAAGCATTATAGGAGCTTCCTTATCTTGGTGTTGGGAATATGAATGGAAATAGCATATTAGCATAAGCCACGCAGTGAAAAAATATAGTAAGCAGTTAATAATTTCCTATTCAGACGACGGTGTTACTATTTAGGTAGAGTAATTGTCATCTATTCCTCTGGAAGAAAATAGTCCGTCTTAATGATTATGGCATATTCTCCTATCACGGATTTCACATGAAACCAGATGTTCAGTTTCTACGGTAATTGAAACTTTCGGTGTAATATTATAATTATCTTGCGGTAAGATGTATTTCAATTATGATAATCCGCTTGATGAATAAGAGAGTAATTTGTTTGGGGAGCCATTTGCGCCAAAAATATCAATCGCTAGTGATAAAACTCAATAGTTGGTGCTAAAATTATAACCGCTAGTGACGAGAATCAATAGTTAGGGCGAAAATAACAATCGCTAGTGATAAAACTCGATCGTTAGTGCTAACAGCAAATCGTATTTGTAAATCAATTTAGTTTCGTTCTAAAAGCATTAGTGTTGAACCTCGATCGCTTGTGTTGTTGCATCAAACGCTGTTGTAAAACTCCAATTAAAAGGGCTAGCTATAAATCGCTTGTGATCTAAGGCAGATCGATAGTGCTAAATATCAATCATAGGTTTTGGTGTCAATCGACAGTGTTAAACCTTTATGGCTTTTCTCTCAAGTTATCTTTTTAAGTGTAATGCTAATCACAAACGTTCCAAGCTCACGTCTCGAGAAAAAGCAAACGATTACTCTGTGCAAGCGTCACGCGTTGTGTGACTCGGTGTTAAGTTACAAGAGGAACCGTTGTTAGAAGACGATTAACAGGAATAACAGTGATGGCAAAACAAGCTTAAAACGGCAGAGAACGCCGGAAATCATAACGGACACACAAGATGTAAGTAAATTCTAGTGATTTTTCGTGTAAAATGTTCATATTTTGAAATATTTATTGGAGTAAATCGACCATATTTGGTTCCCCATACTATTCCTTATAATGCGTTCAAATTCTTAACGGTTCCTCTCGCAACTTAACACCTAGTCACACAACGCGTGACGCTTCGTGAATTAATCGTTTACTTTTTCTCGTGACGCCTGTGTCTACGCGATGGGTCCTCTATAATTTTATATTATCAATCTTGTTTTTATTTTGGCCGATCTTAACCGCAAAACTTTGAAATTTAAGGTAGAAATTCGTTTAGGAAAGAATCAACAAACCAAAGGTACATACTTAGTATGCGGGAATCGTTTAACGTAATTCAACATAATTTGCTAGTGATGAGAGAAATAGTGATGTTGGTCAAATATTGACGTCTTGCTAACTGTCACCTTTACAAGCTAGAGACCAACACTTTCTTAGAGAGTAGAGTAAGCCCCCGAGCTGGCTCGTTGTATTGAGTTTTAGGAAAGGAAATAAAGAAGTTTCAACTGAACAATGAGTGTTACAAAAATCTTCTAACTCAACATTGGCAACGAATTTAATACGCTCGTTCAGTCTGAGTGATCAACGGTATTCATTTTCCTTTTTTCTCTTAAAGCTTTATGATCAATTTCATTTCACTTCATGATATGCGAAGCAATAATAGAAATCAAGGCCTTTATGAAAAAGCACTATCTTCTGTTTCCTTCTGTTTATAGAGCCATTGATATCGTTTATACCAAGATATTAAATTTCCGTTATTTAAAATTTAGAGTTTGCATATGTCCTTCAAGTGTGAGTTGAAACACAACTTTCCATTGAAAGCGAAAGACAAATAAAAACGTTGAATCTTTAAAAAAAAGTGAAATGAAAATGTCCGCTTTTATAAAGGTTTCGTGCACGCAGACATACACGGGGAGGTAGCTGACCGCACACGCACGGATCGAGTTCCGCGCACTACTAAAACGCGGATTAAGGGCACAGAGCCTGACTCATGATCAATCTCAGTCTTTTTGGAGGTAATAGTAGAATGAGGGATTGTCACAAGTTTCCACTGCGTGATGGAGCCCCGTCAAAGATATGTGTTTAACTCCAACAATAACCGTCATTAAAAATGGCATATCATCCATTGAAATCAAAACTTTTTGCATTTTTCCTCATAGCCTGAGACATTCATCGATTTTTTTATCGAGTAGACCCACTATTTTCCCTTTATTTATTTTTTTTTACGCTTAAGTTTATTTTCCTTTCCGACGGAGATGTGCGTCACTACATTATCGTACCATGTGTTTCCCAAGTTACTTTTTGACATTTTAATGAGACATATTTGCATATTTACATTTTTTTCTTTATTGCTAAGCAAATTTAAAATTTGCAGAGTTTCCACACACGCAACACTGATCTGCAGATCAGTGTGGCGAACAGCAGCAGACCTTTAGGCCCAGGGTGAGCTTCATATTATCTTTGCCCCAAATCATTCTCAAGCAATCCCTTCAGTTTTATAGATAATTTGCTAAAGGTCACTGCTGTAATTGGATCAGTAAATGAATGTACAAACAGCGTTTTTTAAAATAAAATCGTTTATTTCACGGAAGAGTCACCATCAAGCGTAGATAGCGGACTTTAGGGTACCATACTGCTTTATTGCTGAGCTGAGTTTGCTAAAACTTAGATATCAGAAGTTTCGCAATACGCTATGTAGAGAGAACACCCGAGTCCCTTTTGGTACCAGGGGTGATATCTTCACCTCATTGAGAAGAGAATATATTTTCTTTTCTTTCCTTTGTAACTTAGGGACAGTAAATGTCTGCACCGTTAAGTGTTTGCACCGTTAAGGAATGCTTGCTCTTAATTACGTCGTGCAAGTAAACATGTCTCAAAAAAATATCAGAGATGTCAAAGACATAATTTGGAAACATATGGTACGAAAATGTAGTGACGTACGTCTCCGCTCGAAAGGCAAAAAAAAACCGCTAAACGTAGAAAAAATAGAGAGAAAATTCTGGGTTTACGCGACATAAAAAAACAACAACAACGAATGCCTCATTATAGCTGCCATGTTACAATTTAAATTAAAACAATACGCTAAAACTAAATACACTTAGGAAATTACAACGAAAATGACAAAACAAAAATACCATAACTCACATTTGTTGCGATGCTGAAATAATGACTTGCTGCCGAACGGCGAAAAGACTGCACATAGTGCGATACGAAGCAATATGATATGAGATATAAATGAGCGCAAGTGAACTTTCTAAGCAAAACTATCAACTACGACGAAAACAAGTTAAATACTAGCTACATTACGTAACATTGCACAGCGCACGCAAACATTTTTACTGCAATTAAGGTCGTTTGAATAAAATCAATGAATAGACAAAAGAAAAAGACGTTTGTGATCTACACTCAGGCTATGAAGAAAAATGCAAAAAGTATTGATTTCAATAGATGATATGCCATTTTTAATGACGGTTATTGTCTGAGTTAATCACATATCGTTAACGGGGGTTCCATCACGCAGTGGGAACTTGCGATAATCCCTAATTCTACTATTAGCTCCAAAGAAACTGAGATTGATCATGAATCAGGCTCTGCGCCCTTAACCCGCGTTTTAATAGTGCGTGGAACGCGATCCGTGCGCGTGCGGTTTGTTACCTTCCCATGTATGTTTGCGTGCACGAATCTCTTCATACAAGCGGTCATTTTCATTTCATTTTTATGAAAACATTCATGGTTGAAATAATGAACACTTGAAGTACATAAACAAACTCTAAATCTTCAATAAAAAATTTAATATCTTGGTGAAAACGATGTCAATGGCTCTATAAACAGAAGGAAACAGAAGATACTTAATATCCTGGTCTTCAACTTTCGAGTAGTAGTATCATGCACGTCTACAACGGGCTTAATTGAGAAAAAAGTAATATCCTGCTGCTTGGGTATAAGAACTCTAACAGTGCCTCTCTAGGCCCAAAAGGGGATGCTCGATAAAGGCAGCAAAACAGCGAAAACAGGAGGCCAAACCGCTCTACTTTAGAAGGGCTCAACAAAACAGCTACATGCTGAGCCAACATCAGCAAATAGCTGAATTTGGACATCTCTCATCCGACTCATGGAGACTAAGCATCAAATTCACTAAAAACCTCTGGAAAACATAGATGAAAGTCGCTGACTGAAATTTGTATCATAAACAAGATACAAAAGTCAAGCTAGAGTTGATTTTGCTTTAATCCATATAAATCACACACCATTTTTTTAAATACATTCTTAAATGATAAATAGAACACTTAACATGTGAGCGTTTGAAGCGTGATATCTGTAAAAAACAAACGTTCACATCAAGATTGAATTGGAAGTTTCACAATTAATTTGTGTGAGTTGGTGTTGAAAGTGGCATCAGTTCTTTCAGGATCAATTTTCTGTGGTAGCTTGATGTGAAGGTTGTACACTCCAGGGGAATCTAGTGACATTTCACTCTAGGAAAAAAAAAGGTAAAAAAATACTGAAAAAAAGGTATTTCATAAATTCTATTAAGTAGTTAGCGATTTCATGATTGAGGTGGGGAGAAAATTGTACATATAAATGTGCAGTTACGGTAAAAGAATAAAAGTTTGAAGGTAGTTGTGTCAATTTTTGGTACAAAATTAATCTTAGGTATATCTATGGAATAAAAACATCAATCACTTCTCATGCAAAGTTTACCTATCACCAGATGATGTTCAAAGTTCAAACATCTTCCAAAACATTTTCAAGTAAATTTGTTGTACATTTTGGATCCTACATTTTATCACTGCAAGAGGGATAAAACTATGACCTAAAATTCCAAACATAAATAAGAGGGAAGGGAGGGGAGGGGGGGGAGGAAGGAGTACCCTCTCAACCCCCTGCCAAAAGGAGTATTTAAATGTAATCCATACCTCACACACATCTAGTTGACACTGTGAAGATGAAATGATATTTGGTAAGTTTACTTTGACAATGATCCTTTTTGGCTTGGAATCCTCAGCATCCTTCTCCAACACTTCATAACTTGGTGTTATTGGCATAGGCACAGTGTTAGTGGATGATACTTCCTCGATGAGAACTTTTTTTGGTTTTTCTGCAAATCGCTCAAATAGGTCCATTGGGTCATTTCCATCTTGTTGGCTTTCAGAAACTGTTATTGATGAAAGTTGTCTTAAAAGAGATTCTGGACTCTGAGAAACTCCTTTTCTTTGTTCCTCAGAGTTGGTGGGATTCAATGCTTGTTCTCTTACTTGACGTAAATATTTTCGCAAGGTTTTTGGATCACCCTTAAAAGACTTTTTAAGGTTTTTGTACTTTCTTGAAACTTGAATTTGTTTGGCATTCTCTAAATAGTCCAGAGCAACATGAACTAGGAGGTTCTTACGATCTTTACTGTTTATGACACCCTTAGTGACCACAGGATGAACTATTACATCAACCACTGAATATGTTGCCTCTCCATCCTTGACCTCCTTTATTTCACCAGCCATAACAGGTATTGCATCATTCTCAGATTTTGGAGCAAGCATCTGTTCCCAGCCACAGATGTTCACAAATAGCTCATGAGTGATCACAGTTGGAAGCTGTAATTTAAGGAACAAAAAACTCAAACTTCTTCAAAGACACATGTAAGATGAAGAAAAAAGGTTGATGATAGCTTCACGATAACTGACTGATAAATTCTGAAATCACTCTTTCTTTCTTTCTTTAACCAAGACGTGTGTGTAAATTGTTGCTTTAAAGAATGTGTAATACCTGGGAAGCAGCTGATACAGAGTGAATGTAAAGGTATTGTAAAGATAAGAGCAGTGAAAAGTTTCCACATACGATTTCTCTGATATTGCTACAGTGTATTAAATATATTTCTATCATAATTTATGAAAAAAAAACCGTAAAAATAGCTTTCTTGGACTAAATTTATTTTCCAAAGTAGGAAGTCCTCAAAATTCATAGATACAGAATCAACACTATCACTCAAGCTATCTCATATCAATCAGTCAAATCTTGTCGTTTATCTAAGGGTAGAATGTGCTAATGGACTTATGAAAGTTTAAAATTTCTCTAAAACTTAATCTTAGGGATCTAAATGTAAATCATTTTCGTTTGGTTATTTACTCTAGCGCGCAATTCTAATGGTTACTTACCAAAGTGGTAGAGATACAAAAACAAGGTTCAGGTGGCTTAAAATAGGTAGATCCCTCCTTCAAAGTTTTATCAATAAACTTCTTGTATGCTTCAGGATCTGAATCAGCCAGATCATCCAACATTTTCCACATACTGTCCGCTTGATTCAGAATGTCCGAGCCTTTCTGTTCCGCCATCTTGTTTTTCTGTAAAATAAGGAGTACTGGGAATAGCTTTATTGCGCATGCTAATTAATGACCGCTGGTTAATAAGAAGGAGGCATCGATGTCCTCACCGGTAGGACAGTGCAGCTGTGAAAGAAACTGAAAGTTTTCTGCAATGTAGAAATAATAGGTTTGTACATATATTTACTCAACATAGCGTAGAAATTTTAATAGTTTTAATCTTCCATGATATTTCATTCTTAACCATATTACTTGAACCATTTCTTAGAAGAAATGGAATTGAACACATTTGGAAATGGTCCTTGGATTAAATTATCATGTTTCGTAGAATGATGTAGGCGAAATTTGTTGAAAGCCGAGATCGATTTATCCCATTTTTAGTTAATTTTCATTGATTGCTGTAACACAAATAGCGACAAATTCTCTTCATTTAAAAAAACGACTTAACACCATATATAAATTTATTGAATCATTTAATTTATATGTCGTATTGTTTCATCTAACAGGTACGATCCTCGAATTCTTTTAGTATGATCAGTGCCTGAAAACAATGATTTGAATATGAAAAAGTTTTTCGAAAAAGCCAAGTTAGATTATAAGTTCAAGAAAGCAGGTGAGGGCCATACCTTAGCAGATGACAGCAGCACAGCTTCCCGACAGCAAGCAACCACCTCTGCACCTGCAATACGGACAACCCCAAGCTCAGATGCACAGAGAGCTGGGCAGGTGAGTTAAAAAATTTGTAATCATTTTCTACTCGAGCGTTTGGAGAAAACATTGTACTTAGGTAAGAATGTGGCAGTGTGCTTTCAGGACAGACAGACATTTGATCTTTTCTCTTCACTAACTCATTTGCTCACTCGCGCCTTTATTTCTTCCGTTTCTTTTCAAAGGTCAACATGGAATTTCAGAGGTTGATAAAGAATCTTAAAAATCGATGATATTGTTTGTCAGAATTTTTTCCCTAGTCAAGGTCTTCTGAAATGATTTCCAGTAGGTTAGTTGAAGGTGAATAATTCGTCGAGAGCAATCTTAACAAATTTTCTCTCTCCTCAACAGTCTTGGTCACTTTTTGGGTTTTTCTTTCCATTTTGTCCTTGTTTTATATCACTAAACCTAAGCTTTTGCGGTTGTCTTGCTCTGAAGGTAATATAAAGAGATAAAGATGTGTTATTTTGTAATTACATACAATTTTTGGGTTATCTGGACCCAGCTGAGGATTTTGAGTAAAACTAAGGAACCTTGTCGTGTACACAAATCTAACACATGCAAATTATTGGATTCAAAATACTGTAATATACCAGCAGTTTCATCTTTTTCACTCAGGCTGCTTTGGAAAGGTTTTCAGTTCATGAAAAAAATGCTGTAAAGAAGCCAAAGTCTGCCACAGCCTCATGGAAACACAGTGGACAAGGAGGGACATCTCAGAGTAACAGTGGTACAGGAGCAGCACTGAACCTGAGTCAGTTGAAAAGAGAAGGTTTGAGGTTATTGTTTCAATAAATTTTTTTTGTCATGATCAGCTGCTCAAATGTAGACTGATCTACAGTTACTTGTGGGTAATTTTACCTTTTACCACTTCTTCCAATTTTGGGATAATCAGTTGATCCAATACTAAATTCTCTGAACTAACACTGTAAGAATTATATGGTTGACAGTAAGGAAAATGATAAATTTGATCTGCAAGTGAAAGGGTTAACCATTAATGATCTAGACTTTGTGTTTGAGAGTCAGGGTTCGATAAGTCCCAGTTTGAAACTTAGGGAGGTCATTGTGTGTTGTGTTCTTGGACATGACACTCCTCCAGTGCTTCTCTCTACTCAGGAGTAGAAATGAGTACTGTTGAATTGTCAGGAAAAGCCAATGAAAAGCCTGAGGGTTGCCTTGATGAACTAGCATTTCATGCATAGGGAGAAGCAATACTCCTATTTGCTTCATGTAACAGAAAGCTGGATGAGCTCTGGCTGAATGAGCCATTTGGTTGTAGTGCAACTTTACCTTCTTACCTACCTACTTTAGTTAGCTTAGACAACTATTTCAAAATTATCCAAATTCCCCTACCATGGTTTTTTGAGAAGTAGCTACAAAGAGGCTTGTAACAAATGCTCATAGAATTTTACGTAAAACCAGACAAAGTCATTTTGAGCACATCAATATCACTGATTTTGTAAAAAGGCCTTAGTTTGTAAATTGATAATTGGGAAGAACAGTTCCCATCGACTGACTGTCAACCAACTGTCAGCTGATAGATAATGCAGGCTGGTAGCATATCTTCAATAGGTTACTGACAGGTTACCAGCTGGCCCATACAAAAATTATTACTATTTAGACAACCAAGAGGTTTTTTCACTAAGTTATTCTTCACAATTACCTTTAAATTACATGGATTGGTATCTTTTCAGTGAGACAGGAGTTGGCCTATCAAGAAGCCTGTCATCAAAGAGACCTTCAGAGAGAGGTTCAATCTACTGCTGAGGTGAATTTTGTGCCATTACACCTTTCATAAAATTTCCAGGAAACTTGAAATTCTCTTCAGTGTTTATAGACTGGAGTCTATTGGAAAGTAGGTCTAATTGAAGTGGGTGGCTTATTATAAACTCACTGAGTTATTGATTTTTTTGTTTCTCAATTGTTGGTTGGCTTCAACAAATACCATCATATAGTATGCATTTCTATGGTTGAAAAACTTAAGTTGGTAGATCTTTGAAACAGAAACAAAAGAGAACCATCAGTAGTTTGAGTAAATAAGTTTACTCTCACCTGTCTTTTTATTTCCTCAGCCAACACATGTAGAATGTTCAACTGTGCAGTCTCAAGAAGGAGTGTATTTTTCTTGCCCAGTGTGTCCAATTACAGTTTTAAAAAGTGAACTAGATACACATATGTCAGAATGTCTCTTTAAGGTATTTTATTTCATTTTAGAATCATAGAACTGTTGGTTTACCTACAGACTGGTTGTTCATCTTACTTCATGCCTGAATGATGGAATGACTAACTAACTGCATGGCTAATTGACCAATGAATAAATGGGGCTAGTTTCTAAAGGATCATTTTGCTGCACTATTGGGGTTATTTCAAGATAACTCAGTCTCATCAACTGAGTTGATAACCTAAAAAGAAAGTATACAGTATGAACAGTTCTTAAGCTGATGTTTCCAGCATTTTCCCTTTGTCAGAGTCCTTCATGACTCATTCTAATAAAGGGCTAACTCTCAAAGGCTCAGCTTTAAAAACTCTTTACAATGGATAATTTAAGTTATTAACTACGGTGAAAAACAAAATCATCTTGAACAATTGACTGACTTACTGACAAACTGAATGACAATTTATATCAACTGATTAATATATCACTTAATTGATTGATTAAAGGTTAATTTTGTAGATGGAAGGAATGATTGACTAAAGATTGACAGATTGAAAGTCTGACTAAATAATTTACCTCCGAGGTAGATTATATAGTCAGTTAGTCCTGCACACATCATGATGATAAAATTCCTTTCTTTTCTTCAGCAATATCCTGATGAACCACTGACAACTTCATGTTCCATGATACACACCCTAAACAAGGATAAAGAAAAGGTTAAAGCCTGCATTGACCTGATCTGTAGGTATGAATTTGTTTTTGTTTCAAATATGCTTTAAACTTGTTTGAAAGTCAACTGAACTAAATGATTGAAATTAATTATCTTAAACTCAATTTATGTCAATGATTATGACTCTTCCATGAATCATGCTCTATTAGATACCTTGATAATATCTGCAAGAATCCAGAAGAGGAAAAATATAGAAAAGTAAAGCAAAGCAACAAAATATTCCAGGTAAGACTTAAAGGCATGTTTTAATTTATGAGTTGCATATGTTTCATACTTTGTATCTCAGTTTAATATAACTGGTACAATGTAGTTTACTCTGTAGGGCAATGCCATATGATGTAATTTACTCCCAATCATGTAAATACAGTCCCTTAAAGTTCTTACTTTTGATTTTTTTTACCAAGGAACGTGTAGTACCCATTAAAGGTGCCACTGAATTCCTTCTTGCCTGTGGATTTGAAGACAAAGTTCTCCCAGTAGAAGGTAAATGAAAACATTAAGGATTTCTTATAACAAACTCAATCTGTAAAACAAACCTGTCACCTGTAGAAGTTGGTGACAAATTACTTTCCCTGGCCACCTATTGTGTGTACTATATTCAGCTTGCTTTTTCAGTGGGTTTTGAGTTTCAAGTGAGTAATTTATGACTTATTGGGTCAGTGGTCATGTTACATCTTCTGATCAGGTGGTTCATTAGTTGTGTTCCACAGCTAGCAGTCAGGTCAGAGGAAAGTATATTTATGATTTCATAAAGTTCTCTTTAAATTTTTTTATTAATTATACTATATTTTTTTATTATTTCTTCTTTAGCAGATTCAGAAGAAAAGTTTTATGTTTTGCCAAAGGAGTGTTCTGACTGTGAACGATTAAATGTGTACAAAGAGATATTGACGTCAAGTGAAGCTTTGAAGGCAAAACTGGATCGTTGCTTAAAGGTATGTTGTTTCTTTGATCTTATTAACCCATATTTCTCTATATATTCCTTACACCCTAGCATTAGTATAAATATTCTCCATACTGTTCTCTATATATTCCTTACACCCTAACATCAGTATAAATATTCTCCATACTGTTCTCTATATATTCCTTACACCCTAACATCAGTATAAATATTCTCCATACTGTTCTCTATATATTCCTTACACCATAACATCAGTATAAATATTCTCTATATATTCCTTACACCCCAGCATCAGTATAAATATTCTCTATATATTCCTTACACTCTAACATCAGTATAAATATTCTCCATACTGTTCTCTATATATTCCTTACACCCTAACATCAGTATAAATATTCTCCATACTGTTCTCTATATATTCCTTACACCCTAACATCAGTATAAATATTCTCCATACTGTTCTCTATATATTCCTTACACCCTAACATCAGTATAAATATTTCTCCAGACAATCAGCTATATATTCCTTACACTCTAACATCAGTATAAATATTCTCCATACTGTTCTCTATATATTCCTTACACCCTAACATCAGTATAAATATTCTCCATACTGTTCTCTATATATTCCTTACACCCTAACATCAGTATAAATATTCTCCATACTGTTCTCTATATATTCCTTACACCCTAACATCAGTATAAATATTCTCCATACTGTTCTCTATATATTCCTTACACCCTAACATCAGTATAAATATTCTCCATACTGTTCTCTATATATTCCTTACACTCTAACATCAGTATAAATATTCTCCATACTGTTCTCTATATATTTCTTACACCCTAACATCAGTATAAATATTCTCCATACTGTTCTCTATATATTCCTTACACCCCAGCATCAGTATAAATATTCTCCATACTGTTCTCTATATATTCCTTACACCCTAACATCAGTATAAATATTCTCCATACTGCTCTCTATATATTAAAAGGTTAATGATGCCTGTTTCTGCAAAGAGATGCAGTTTGTATGAGTGAAAGATGAAGATGCACGTGTGTAATGAGCATGATTTTAGCTTACATGGAAATAGTTTGAAATGTGGATTAGTGGCTTAGAAATCATAAGAATGCTGGTATCATTTGGTGTTTATGAATTATAATGTAAAAAAAAAAATCAAGTTACACTTAAAAAGAAATTGAAAGAGAAGCTGATATGAATTGAATAAAACACAATTCTGTCAGGTTTCAATGATGGCCTTACAGCATATCCTTCTCAATTTCTTTCCTTTTTCTCAATTTGTTTGTTTGTTTGTTTTTTTTGCTTTTTTATTTATGTTTGTAAGTTTGTTTTGTTTGGTGTTGTTTTCACCCTTGCAGGTTTACAAGCCAAGCAGCCAAGCACGTCATTTTGAGGTCCCCTGGGATTTCTTTAACAAGACAGCTGAAGAGGTCAAAAGTGAACAGATGGCAAGGTAACATAAGTTTTACTACAAATCCTTTGAAAAGACAGTCATCTGGTTGCCTATTGTTCTTCAAGTCAGATAATTCGTAGATTGGGTAATTCAGTATAATCGACTGTGTTGATAACGTAAATTGGCCACCGTTAACCCCCCCCCCCCTCGTAGATTATTTGTCTGGCTGGGAACGGCCTGCAAAGCTGCTATAATGGAGGGTTTTAGAACTGCATGTATCAATTATTGAACAAACTAAGTACTCAGGTAATTTCTTACACAAAGGGAATTCAAATGAATGTAATTACAAGATTTTATTTCCATACGTCGATCATTCACCCCTGGGGCAACCCAAGGGCATTTGAACTTTTGAAGATCGGTTCGTTCAAATCCACCTCCTTCCCCCCTCTCCCTCTCCCCCCACCCCGCCTAAGTTGATCGTCATTGTCATTTTTTTGTTAAAAGCAAGATGAGCAACCGTGGTTTTCTTTAAAACCTTTTCTTCTGGGTCGTCTGCTCGCGAAAATGAACTTTTTTATCTATAAACACCTCCATATTAAAAGATGAAATACGTCTATTTCGCTCGAAAGATGTGATGGTTCCGGTTCGAATTCCCCACCCCCACCTCACGGCACGGACAAGAGTCAAATGCGTTATTGTCTATGTTACACAATCATCTCTTGTTTTATTATGTTCCAGAACGGAGGAAGTTGAGAAAAACTCTCAGCTCAGAACTCGAGCTATGCGTGAAGCAGAGAAACGCCCATCCAAGACCTACCGTTTCACTTTGGTGCGGATACGTTTGCCTGATGGGATCATCCTTCAAGGTGCGTATTTTGAACCCACGGGTTTCTCTGTTCCACTTCAAGTGTATTCTATACTTCTTGTTCTCTCGTCTACAGGAACATTTTATTCCAGAGAAAAACTTCAGGACGTTTTCGAGTTTGTTCGGCAGTCTCTTGTGTCCGACTGGCAGCCTTTTCTACTTTTTGAGGCTGGTAGACAGTTGAACGATGAAAACGCTACCTTGGTCGACTTAGGCCTGGTAAGTAAGAAAAGGCACTTCCAAAAGGTTCGATTTGATTATGTCTACTTTTTAAGCTCTTTACTCTAATTGTTTCTTCATGGAAACCCGGCGCGAAGCTGGAGATTCGAAGAAAGCCCTTTTAAAAGACAAGAAAGGATAAAGGCAGAGAAAGGAAAAAGACAAAGATAAAAGAAACGTTCAACACGACTTCATTTCCCTCCCCTTCGTTGGGAGCTGAAAATTTTTCCTTTCCATGCTTGTCAGAGGTTAACAAAATCTTTCTTTATTAGGAGACCGAGACCATTTTTACTAAGGTGTTGTTATTTTTGTTGTGCAGGTCCCAGCTGCTTTGGTGAACTTTAAGTGGGACCCAGTTGTTATGAAAGACATCGCAGCGGCACAAGGCCAAGTGGACGAAAATGTCTTCCTGAAACCCGAAGTGCTGTGCAGAGTACAGAACCTTAGCTAGAACATTATTTTAGAATTACAGTGGCGGATCTAGTGAAGAGGCCCGGGGGGCCTGGGCCTCCACTTTTTTCGGGAAAAAAAGGAATAGCAGAAGGAAGAAATGCCGGTAGGACAAGCAACAAAAATCCCCCCCCCCCCCTTTGTTCAAGGTCTAGATCCGCCACTGAATCATCAGTGATTTCATTTTAAAGCTGGAAGTTTTCATGAAAAAAGAAAACAAAAAGAAACGAAGGTAATAAAAATGGTAAGGTGCCCTTCAACCTTTACTTAGAAGCCCATAAAAGAGCCTGTTTGGATAAAAAGAGAATGTATTTAAAGTGAACGATCCGGGAAAAGGCATCGCTAGAAATACAAAGGGGTCCCCCTAAATAAGATAAAACAAGTATTCCTTTGCTAATATTGACACTGTAAATAAATGAAGAGCGTAAATAGAAAATGTCTTAAATGGCAAGAGGCCGACGAGTTGGCTGTTTACAAAGGGCAGGCGAGGAGTTGGACTTGGGACTTTGGAGGAGTTAAGTATCTGAACCTGGGACCTCCAGAATTGAATATACAGCGCGTTTAACATCTCAGCCACCCTGTGTCCCCTCGAGTTAAGTACACTGTTCAGCAGTACAGGATGTAGTAGAAGCGAATAAAAGAAGTGTCAAAGAGAATATTGAATTTTAGTTGAAATGATCAATTCATACTTAGAAGGTGAACAAAGTACTGATTGCAACGCAAAAAAATTCTGACTGTGTGATAGACTCACTGACTGAATGACTAACTGATCGATTGAATGACTGACTTGCGGGCTTATTGACTGACTTACGGTCCTATATTGATGGAATGACTTACTTACCGACTGATTTATCGACGAGCTGATTGACATATTAGCCTGACTGATTGACTGACTGATCAACCGACTCACTAACTGACTGGCATTTTGGCGTTTTGTAACCTTTATTACCAGGGTTGATTTTGGTATCACAGTCATATCCCAAAAGTGTTCCAAAATTACTTAGAGGTTCAAAAACTGCCACGAGTATCGTGTTTTAGTTCTGAAACGCTTAGTCACTTAGGAAATTTGAAATCTCTGAGGTGAGGTACTCGATGCAGTCGAGTCTGCAGAAAGCAGCAACGTCTTACCGGTCACCCATGTTTTAAGCGATCGGCTGTCAAAGTCTCGATACTCGTACCCCCTGTAGTGTGCGGTAATTTTTGCTTCCATTAGGCGTTCACCTGTATCAAGCGTTTGTGGTCACCCTTGGCTGAAGGCCAGTTTGAATTGTCTTCCCCACCATTGTATCCCGTGTTTATCTCCCGGAACCAATGCATTTACTTTGCGGATATATTTCCTGAACGCATTGAAAATTACCTTTGTCCGTAGGAATTTTATGGCAAAGATCACGTGCGAACGAATCAAGTCGGTGGGAGAGTGTAACGGAGTAATTTGTTTAATTATCAAATCGGTTGATAAAGTAAATTGGCCACTGTAAAGAGTTTAAAAGCTGACTTTTCAAGCGTTTGCCCTTCGAGAGAGCGATAGGCAAAGGGTTAACGCTCGAAAATTCAACATGAAAACACTACGGTGGCTGATTTACTTTATCAACTCGGTTGATAATTAACAAAATTACCCCATTACGTGGGAACATCACGGAAGTCTTAAGTTAGTTTTGTTGTTGTGTTGTGTTGTTATTGTGTTTTTACGTTACGCAACCATTTTGTTGATTTTGTTTATTAGTCGATGCACTTTTGAGCGAGCCTTTGAATAAACTGTAAATTAAGGGATCAGTTATGGTATAAATTGGCGTTTTTATCGCGTTTGACCCCTATTCTGTGGAAAATGTATTAAGCTTAATACAGGTTCAATCATGTTTTCAACTGGGCGTACTTTGAACTTTCCGCCACTCCTGAAGCATGACTTTCGATTGTCATCCTATGCGTTGGGACGGAGCCTTCCGTCAGGAAATGATTCATCTCTGTGCCAATGCATTCTAATCACGTTCTATCTGTTTATAAATCTATAAATTGAAGGCAGTTTAGTCTGTTATAGCTCTTGCCAGTGTGGACAACTTGGTGCAAACGTAACCAAAGTAAGTCACCTTTCCAAAGTGTTTCAATATGTAAGCCATGTGAGAACTACAGGACGATTCCTTAACGATGAATCTTGTTCAATTTTTTTTTAGTTAGTTAGAACAACGATATATCCGAATGTCATCACTCAAAAAGTGAGTTGACCTCATTTTGAAGTTAATCGATCTGGCATTTAATTAGAATTAGTTGCAAGTACACTATAATTTCACCACGTTTATATTCAATTATCTATATTCTACACATTTTTACCCACGTTTGGTAAGCGCGTTTAGAAAGCTACAATCTGTTGTAACCCATGTTTCAGTTCGAAACTACAACTCAATCGACAATTCAGTCTACAAATCAGTATACAATTGTCTGCAATTGGTCCACAAGATCTCTACTACTTGCCGTCAACCCGCTGATCGAACTGTGATGCTGAACGCTTTCTTTTTTTTCCCAATCAATCCGTGGAGTTTGAATCGCCTACTTGCACTTGTTGAGATTGAGTATTCGCAACCTTTCGAATCCAAGCAATCACATAGGGTAGCTAATATAATCGCTCGCGAACTAACTGTTTCTGTCTCTCCCATATATTTGAATTGTTTTTGTTTTCACAGGTTCACCCACACACCTTTTACTATCAGGCCTGTTCCGATTGTGCTTGGCAGCTTTTGAGCAACTTTTGGCACTTTCGAGCAATTTTTTGCCCTTCTGAGGTATTTTTGAGCAAGATATAGGTTTAGAGCGCGAAAAAGTTGACAATTTCATTAAAAAAAAAGCTGACACATAACATATCATTTGACAGCGTTTCGCGGGCCTATTCCGATATTTATCTAATATTAATTAATATTATAACGGATAACCGGCTAAAATGACTTTCGGCAGGACGTCTTTAGTTCCGTTAAATATCGCCCGTAACTGCGAGCAACTCTTTAACGCTAGTTTTCAGACTAATTCTCTTGCCCAATGTTAGCAATTGTTGTGAATAACGATATCAATATAAAATATAAAAAAATTTAGGTCGTAAATTTTGAAAAGTAAGTAGCAATTTTAAGATTTTTGGCAATTTTTTTAGCAACTTTAAGCATTCCCAGTGAGCAAGTTTCTGGCGTTTAACGAGCACAATCCGGACGGGCCCAGTTATTGTAGGATTTTTTATACAAAGGCGTCAAACATGCGATCTATTAGAGCGTTTACGCGAATGAAAATTCGTCTGGTGTTTTTTCATTTTGATTTTACAACGTGTACTGTGATGTTTTGTTTGGTTGAATCAGCTTGAAGCAGAAATTTTGTTTACAAATTGTCTGGAATTTCTTCAGTATTTTGTCAGTAATATTTCATTTGCCATCTAATGAAACAATAGTACGAGCTTAGGAAATTTACTGACTTCAACTGGCGATTATACATTATATTCCGCAGACTTTGCTCAATAATTTTGATTTCAACTTAGTGGTCTGGCTGAGAAAAATTAGAGACAAAACCAAAGTAATCAATGACGACGGCCAGTCGGAACGAAGAGAAAAATTTCTAAGGGGTCCAAAAGAGAGCAGATGGCAAGTAAACTGCTCTGAAGCGACCATAGACAATAGCAACCGGGGGGCTGTCCTGGTGTACCGGTACACGAGGGAATTCCTTTTGTTTTCATAACCATACATGGAGTTATGACGCAGTTCGTTAATGTTTCCTTCTTTTGTGTACCGGTACACGAGGACACAACCGCAACCGGGTTGTCACTGAGTTGAGTTTTGCATTTGAGTGTTTGAGAGTTACTGGACCAATCACTAAGCGAAGAAGAGCAAAAGCAAACGACTCAGGATATACTTTTCACATTCACTGAATTGAAAATGAATCAAAGAGCCGATTCGTGTAACCAGATTTGTACTTGTAATCAGCTTTCAATACTATTCTGACAAGAATCTCGTCTTCGAAATCTTACAAAAACCAACTTGAACAAAAATATCGGAATAGTTTAATCTTTGAGATGATCACTGCTATTATTGCGCAAAGTTTAACCAGGTTGAATTTGAACGACTTGTTACAGAGACAAAATTCTGTCGCACGGTCAAATAATTTTACGAAAGATTCTCCATCTTACACGCAACAAATTATCGTTACCACTTGCGACTTCCCTCAATCAACTTGACTTTCGTGTCCTCGTCGCAAACCGCTATCGTGTTGGTTAATTAAACGTATTGTTATAAATTTGGTAAAGAATTGTTCGTTAGCTTTGCACGACTAGGAGAATTTAAAAATTTAAATGGGAACTTTATTCATTCTAGCGTCGTTTGATATTAGTTTACTCCCTAAGGTGTGATAGCAAAACAATGGTGTAAAATCAACAGTAAATAAAAGAATACATGTGGTCCATAGAAGAAAGACTTTGAACGAAGTTGAGGAGGCTGTGTTTGAACAACCGCCCTGATGGTGCTTGAAATCATAACACCCATGGTAGTGACTAAATAACTTTGAAATGATTCGTAACATCTCCTATTTTGAACCTTTTTAATGACAAAGGCCTCACGGTAATAATTTTACAACAACGTGTTTAAAAGACAAGCTTCTTACATCAAAAACTCTGAATATTCAGATATCCTTTATGGACACGTCGTCATCAAACAAAATATCACATGTAAGTATTCCTGAACTGCTCTCAGTATTTCTCGACACTTTATTTTGCCTTCCGTCCTACTGGAAGTCACATTGGCGACAAGGTACTGATTAAAAGCGGTAACTGTGGTAAAACTTTGCTGGAAAGTCCAGTCGCAATCAAGCCACTCTCCGTCAAAGGTATCATAACCTCGTTCCGATCAAGCAACACAATTCATATCCGTTTAATAGATTCACCTTGGTTTTTTATACTGACAAAATTAGTTGTACAAGGCAAGCTAAGGATTTTTTCTATTTCTTTCGGTAGACAAGGGATAAATTTAATGGGGTCCAGAGAGATATTCGGATTTTTATCATTTGTTTCTTCATTGATAAACCCGGTTACTTGTGAGAGGCCGAGATTCGAATCAGACGGTTGTTAATGTTCTAACACATATCATTATTAAAATGCAAATAATGTTTTCTCTATGGAATAGAAATTGGATTTTTGCAATCGCTGTTTAAATCTTTCCGGAATTTTCTCTACAGCAATAGGAAAATTTTGTTATATTTATATTTGAGTATAGAGTGCATTTTGATTGTGTGTCGTGAAACTGAAACCAAAGTAATCACAATAACCAATCAAAGAAAAATAATATTTCAAAGAGCCAATAAGAACTCAAGAAACTGTTTTAAAGGCGGGAAAACGTGAGTGGGTCAGTTACGATTGGTTTTATTCTTGAATCTCATTGGTTGAGAATGTGGCGGAAGTTTCTGGACCAATCACGAATCGAAGTAAAGCAAAACCAAAGCAATCCTGGAGTATTTCCGACACTCAACTGAAAAACATGAAACTGATCCTAACAGGCTCGTCCAAATCACACAGGAGAAATTGGAAACGCTGAAGTCTCTGTTCTTTTTGCGTTTGCCGCTGCTGACGTTAATATTTTCAAGTATATCTAGCGTGAAGAGACGAAAAATATTTCAACTACTTCTCAGTGTGAACAGAAAA